CTCTGTTTAGTTGCATAGGCTGATCCCAGATGGCTTCCATCTGCTGACGGAGACATAGCATTTCTGTAAGGACGTGAAGAAATGCTGAGAGGAGCTCATCCCTCGTGAGAGACGTTGGCTGTGTTTTCTAATATTCCCCAAATACTTGGGAAAGTACAATCGAAAAATCATTTTTAAAAAAACCTCTCAGCCAGTTACTAGTTAGTTGTTTGACAAGGAATTCAGCTTCTTTCCTTTACCCCCATTTTTTAGGCTCCTCAATATTTTTCCTTCTCCTAGGACAGATTATGTATTTACATAGGCTCATGCCTGAAAAGTAATCTCATTCCACAAGGAAGCTTAACAGCTGATGGGACAGGGCACTGTTATAATTGTATCCCAACTGCAACCTATCTGATGATATGTTCCTCTTTTTAAAGGATTCTATTGTGGTGATGACAATCTATCTTCGCTTAATGTAAGGGGCAACGTACCAAAGGACAGCCCAACCCATCTATGAATCTCTGACTACTTTCTAAAGGTCTAACAGAGTTAGAGTATCACAGGACCCAATGGGAAATCTCAGAGGGCCTGTGCAGTTTCAAACTTATTTGCCACTGATGATTTCATGTGGAATCCAAAAATAAAAATAAAAATTGTTCTCAGGCCTCAACAAATTCAACTGTTACTCAGATAAGTGAAAACAATTTCTTCTTGGGCATCTTCCCTGAACAAATATTCTCTAAACCCAAAACATATTTCTAAACTTCAAGCAAAACTTTTGGAGTTGCTAAAACAATATAACAGAGGTGTAAATATATTCCAGAAATGGGAAAGATTGTCTTGCAAAATCCAGAGCTGAAAATGTGATAACTAAGAGACCTTGGCTTTGCTGGTGGAACACACTGGACTCACACAGAAGTTTTAGGATGTACCCAGGAATATTAATTTCTCAGAATAGAATTCACTTAGCAGGAAAACAATTCTTTAATTGATGATGTAGAAAATAAATGTTTTTGTCCCCGTAAGCTAAGCCATTGGATCATTTCTGTTAAAACCTTCTGGGATTTATAACTAAATTTTAGTGTTGTTTTGTTTCATTTTTAAAACCAAACGAGATTCTTACGTTATACAATTAGGTCTTCACTGGCTATCTCTGCCTCCATCACTACCTTCTTTCTCTCACCCCATAGATCCTGTAAGCAGTGGGTCTAGAAAATAATAGTTTTAACCCATTTTTGACACTATTTGGAACCTTTTTGATTTTCGAATTTTTAGTCATTTTATCTATGTACAAATTCTGGCTTAACTTAAACGTATCCAGCACATCTAAAACCTCTAATCAAATTCTCAGAGGAAATCAATGCATGCGGAGTAATTAATCTCCTTGCATTCAGAAAGCAACGTCCTCTGAATGTTCTCTTCCTGCCTGGCCCTTCAGCACCCAGAGAAGCAGCAGTCTAGAGAGGAACTGGGGAAGGGCGCCCAAGTCCTTCCTGCCGGAGAAAGAGAGGCTGCAATAACAGCCTTGCCTTGAAACACGTTGCCCACATGAGTGCCGGCTGAGGTACTTAGAGGGAATTTGTAAAAATTAGATCAAGGAAACCATAAACAGACTATAGACAAATGTGAACTTTTGATTAAAAACTTATTTTACCATTAATAATAAAAGCACATTAAATCAATATAAGTGTAAAGAGAGCAACATTCGACAACATTGAATTTTCTCAAATAATATTCTTTTTGATCTAGTAATTTCACGTCTGAAAAACTAATTCTATAGAAATGATGCTAGAAGCAGAAAATATCAATGACCAAAAAAAGTAGAGGAGGAGCTGGGCACAGTGATTCATGCCTGTAATCCCAGTACTTTGGGAGGTCGAGGCAGGTGGGTCACCTGAGATCAGGAGTTCAAAACCAGCCTGGCCAACATGGTGAAACCCCGTCTCTACTAAAATAATATGAAAAAAAAAAAAAAAAATTAGCCGGGCGTGGTGGCGCACACCTGTGATCCCAGCTACTCCAGAGGCTGAGGCAGGAGCATCGCTTGAACCTGGGAGCCAGAGGTTGCAGTGAGCCAAGATGGCACCATTGCACTCCAGCCTGGTGACAGAGTGAGACTCTGTCTCAAAAAACCAAAACCAAACAAACAAAAGGTATGAGGGAGAACAAATGGATGTTTGGGGAACGGGGCAGAGTTAAATGCTTCATATCCTACACCGAATATACCACTCAACAGCCTACTGGTAACATATGCCCACAGAAAACTTTTTAAAAACATGGAAATTGCTTTAAATATAAAATCAATGGCAAAGGGAAGAGAAGTGCACATATACAGTACAGTCACAAAAGATATAATGTAAAGAAAAACATGCACTTATAAAAAGCTGAAAAGATTCATGGTTAAATCATTAAGCAATATTGTTCTAGGTGGTTTTTGCTGTTTCTAATTTTCCTATTGTTTCCATTTTGTTTGAGGATTATGCATTAACTTCATAGTAAGAATGTTTAGAAATCACCATTTCCTTAAAATTAGGCAAAAAACTAAGACAACTGATTCATATCAAAAGTTGCATTTCCTATTTAATTGTCTCAGTGAATTTATGATTTGATTATTAAAACTAGAGTTAAATACCTTGTATTCAACCTATCTTCATTTAGTTTCAATAAATTACTTAATGATTAAAATTAATTTAAACAATGCTGTTGGAACTGGAGATCATTCTGAACCTTGAGAGGAATGTGGCTTTGCAGCCCGAGTCACGTGGCACACAGCCGCAACGTCGGCCTCTTGTTCCCTGTAAATAATTAGAAAGGCCAAATGGCGTCAGAGCTGAGACGCCCTTCAACATACCCGGATCGCTAGCCCTTCTCACAGAGTGACAAAGTCATCTTCCTTAGAATGCAGCAATCCATAACCATATACATGGGTCTCATACAGAAACATATGTACCGGTCTCATATAGAAAATGTAATCCTGCTGAACTTTCTCTGTCTCTAAAGTTAAACTAACTTCTCCACTTTGGAATGCTGATCCCATTTGTGTGGAGTTGGTGGTTCCTGGGTGGCTACCCTCAAAGTCTGTGTTTGACTAAACTCTATTCCTAATCTCTGAATTAATTTTCTGAATCTCATTATTTAAGGTTGACACTTATCTCACCTATAGTGCCAGAGAGAATTACCTGAATATGAAATTTTTAAAAAGACTGATTTTGCTCTAATTTAATAAATCCCTGTAGTACTGCAAGATTTGCTATTACCTTTCCTTACCTTTCCCTGCAATATACATGTATATATAACATCAAAAGGAAACGAAAACACTGAAAATACTTAATTGAGATTAATATAAAATATTTTTAATTTTTGAGTAAATACTTCAAAATATTTAAAGCAGGAGGGCTTTAGAAAAAGGATGAAAAAAATCTTTGAAATATTCAGGAATGATTCAGATAAGTAAAGATCTCTGAAAGAATGCAAAAAAATCCCAGTGGGGCTAGCAGTAATACGATTGTATAAGCCATTTGTCCATTTGGTAAGCACACATTTTATCTGATGTTACCAGATAGAGGAGCATCAGGCCAAATGGCCTCAAGTAAATTGGCAGACAGACGACCTGGTCCTAGAGGCCCTGGATCCATCTCTGACCCAAGGCCAGCTCTGCACTCAGCCTTTCACTGCGTTCCGAGGCTTTCGGTCCTAGGTCTGAACACTTGCCTGATGATCCCTGAACCCCTGGGCTAGGGATCTTGCTTACATTTGCCAGTTCAGTGTGTGGTAAGAGCCATCCAATTATTTGCTAATGAATTAGTGGAGGACTGAATGGACAAATGAATGAAGTCTCTCTCCGAACTTCCACAACTGAACTTGCTGATGGATTTTCTTTCTGCTCTGTTGTCTGGTGTCCACTTTAGTTATCTATTCACCCATTTGTTGAGTCTTCAGTGCACAGTAGGTAACGTTAAACAGAAAGGGTCACGTCTACTTCAGTCCTGCACCTGCCCATTCGGTTACTACAAAGGTGAAATTAACCTCACTGCAATCAAACCTTTCCTTGTGTTAAGTAGCAAACAGAGGCTCGCACTGCAAAACTGGGCAAGTCTTGGACTTGGGAATGAGGTTCTTGGCAGAGAATCCCAATGCATGGCTAACAGTGAGAGTCTGCAGGTGACAAAGGAACCGGGCCATTTTGCTGATGGCTGGGGAAAGGGAGGGGAAGCTGCTGACCTTTGCTGAAGGACTAGGATGAGCTACTCACCGCATTTTACATAAGGCAACCTATTTTCAGAATATCGAGGTGAGAGTCTAATCTCAGTCAAATGCTTACTTTCTTGCCAGATGCTACAGGAAGTCTCTTCATTTCTTTTAGTCTGAGTCTCAGAGTCATCAGGCTGAGAATGTGACCATGCATGATAAAGGTAAAATGTGATGTCAGTTTGATTATTATTAATATTCTGCTGAAAGGACTTAGGGTTGATGTGTCATTATTTCTGCAATCTACTTTCAAATGGTGTTGGGGCGGGTGGGGACATAAATAAAGCAATTGTGGCAAAATGTGGCAATTGGTAAATCTAGGTTAAGAGTGTACAGATATTCCTGGTATTATTCCATCAGCATTTCTGAGGGTTTGACTTTTTTTCAAAATAGAAACTAAGTTGAGAAAAAAAATAAGAAAAAATAAAATGTGAAGGCTGTGCCTCTCCTGAAGCCCACTGTATGAACACAAGCAAGATCCTTACTGTCTCAGAGACTGGGGGAGTAAGCCTTGCCTTTTGTACTCCCGTGTTTTGTGAACACTAGCCATGGTCACAGATGCAAAGTGTTTTGCAAACCATCCAGGACTGTCAGGGCGTAAGGGGTTACAGATGTGATCATCTGCGCTGCACCAAGCGATCCATACATCACCAGGCCAAACCTTTGGCTGTCTAGACTCCAGCCAATCTGCGTGGCTGCAGCCACCTCAACATTACATATGCATGACTGGCCTCCTGGTTTCTTCCCAGCTCAGAGCACCAGCTGCGAGCACACAGTCTTGTTCCTGAGAACTGGTGGGCAGAGCAAACTCCACTGCTTCCGTTCAGAAACCTCGGAGCAGACCCTTGCCTGCCAATTCCCAGCTCTCCGGCCAGCTTCTGATCATTAGCAGTGGGTCGGCTCCCATGAAATCCTCAAAGGCATCCCAGCGCTACAGAGGCATCCGGAGAAATGCCAGCCACTGCTACCTCTACCAGGACTCTCTGCTGCTCAGGTGAGCTGGCCCTATTCATCAGCTGGGTGGAGGAGTCAGGTGTGTGAGGAAGGGACGAGTGGGTCACCAGAGCTAGGGACAAAGTCCCTGTCCTGCTCAGTTGTCCTTCAGAATGAACTCAGAAACTGACTTCTCCAGGTTGTGTCACAATTAGGGTGGCAACTTCAGCAATGGGCATAGAGGGAAATGGTTCTTCTGGCCGCTTCTTGACAGGAGGTCAGAATCCAAAAGCTTGCATCCCGACCTGGCTTTATGGTTGGCCAAACCCACAGATGTGTTTCCTTCTTTTCTCTATGTTCACTCAATCAGCAGTGTCAAGAGAGAGTGGATAATATGTCTATTATGACAAAGTGTTTATTGGAAAAGCCTTCAGGCTTTATTTAGTTAGAAGTGGATGTGACTGCTATTTGAATCTGTTAAATATTTATAAAGGTCTAGTACAACTGCCATTTAATTTGGAGAAACTGAAAAAGATTCTCCTCTAAATGAGCAAAATCGACCTGAATTAGAGAATCACAAAGAAAATCTTTTATTTCCAATAGTCATAGATGAATACTCTTATCTCCTCTCAAAATGTTGCATTAGGATGAGCATATTAAGTGTAACTGGGAGTAAACGTTGCTACCTGTTGGAAAATTATTCTTGAGATTCCCTACTTCCCTGAAATATCTCGCCCGTGTAAATCTGCTTAGCTAATCTTTTGCTCATAGAAATTGCTTTGCCTGGTTCTGCCTCCGTTCTCTCAGGCTTAAAACGAATTGAAGTGAAAGGGTGAAGAGGGGTTTCTGAGTGGCAGAAGTTTTGTTTATGTTTATGTTACCTTCGCAATTGGGGAACAAGGAGTTCTGCCTCTAATTATTTCAATGAGCGTGAAAAAGAAATTACTTTGCCTACCCAAATTGCTGCTATTCGGCAATCAAAGAGGACATAAGTACCTTCTTGTCTCATCTTGCGTTTTCTCAAAGTATCATGCACCCTGAGAAATCATTCTCTTTTAATGACCCAGTGGAATTAACTGAATCCAATAAGTGCGTTTCAACAGGCTACTGTGATACTGCCAAATTCTCTGTCTCTGTGGGTCCCTCTCTTTACACACACACGTACACACACACACACATTTCAAACAGACGACCCTCGGACAGTGGGAACTTGTGCCCAGGGCAGGATGATCTTTGCTGGAAGCAGTTCTACTAATCAGATTTCCTCCTTCATGCCCTGATCATTCAGCAACTTGGACGACAGCTTTAGTGCTGATGAAACAGGGGACAGCAATGATCCGGAACAAATCTTCCAGAATATACAGTTCCAGAAAGATCTCATGGCAAACATTCGCTGCAGACCCTGGACTATGGGGCAGAAGCTGCGGGCATTGAGGTAAGGGCCCAATAGCCATTCCTGATCATTGCAAGTATGCTTTCCGACAAAACCCTGCCTTGCCCATGGGAACAAGGGTAAAGACCCAAGAGAGAGAGGTGGGTCAGTCACGCTTGACTTGACTTAGCAAAGTCACAAAGATATCTGAGGGATCTAGTTGGTCCAGAAGCCAGTTCCTCTGTGTGTGTGTGTGTGTGTGTGTGTGTGTGTGTGTGTGTGTGTGTGAGAGAGAGAGAGAGAGAGAGAGAGACAGAGACAAACAGAGAATGAGTGTGTGTCTGTGTTGGGTGTGCACGTTGGTGGAGAGTCTTTTATTTTCTACCTCCTTTCTAAACACTAGATTTTAATATTCTCTCCAGGCTCGCTTGTTTACTAGACACAGAGCAATAAGCCAATATGAAAAAAAAGATACTCATTTTAGATGCTTGGCTATTAGCACCCTCTGGGTAAAAAAATAATTGAAAAAAAAAAAGACCTTTATAGGAAGCCAGATTATTATGATACTTAGAATCATATTAAACAGTCTGTCTATATAATAAAGTGCTAAAGATTTAAAAACAGATTGCCTGATTCAAATACTACCTTTACCAATTTATGTGACATTGATTTTCTTAATTTCTCTGAATACTAGTTCTTTTCTTTTTTAAAGTGGAAGTGATGGTGAGGAATAGCCTTTAACTTCTGGCAGCATGTTTCCAAAACTGTCAACCTCTAAGCTCTCTGGGTGTTATTAAAAACTCAGAATCCCTGATTGCTCTCAGATCTACTGAATCAAACCACGGGGAGAAGGTCCTAGTATTTTTAACTTCCATTCAAGTTGATACTTTTGCACATTCAAGTTTGAGATCCACTGATAGCAGTCTGTTGAAGGATTAAATGGGATGAACCTTGTGAGTGCTTAGTACTGTACTGGTATATAAAACTCACTAAGAGTAAGGAACAGTGATTCTGATGCCTGGGGTCACAGCAAAGGGAGTTAGCACCTTCATGGCATGCACCATTGAGCTACTGTGACCTGTGCTGCAGGCCTTCCTGGCAAAGCAGACATCATGCCTGATGATCAGGCACCTGCTGTGTGGACCGAACCACTGTCTTACCTTGATCTTCATTCTCCTTTTCTAGATGCCAAGCAGACATCTCTTTACCCCCATATCTACCATGTTATTAGGCTTGCATTTCTTGACCACCAAATCATTTCTTCCTTAGATCTGCTTTCCAGGTGATGTTCTTCCAGTCTGACCAGCCTGCTCTTCAGGTGACTGTGAAAGATAGCTAAAGTCACCCATTGTTTTGATCCTGAGAAGGTTCCAGTGAATTCTCCTTCACGGGCCTCTCCTGTCTGTCACTGGCTGCTGCCATTTCCATGTCTTTGAGTAGGACGGCATTATGTCCATTTTTCAGACAAGAAGGCTGATACTCAGAGATGTTAAGAGACTAACCCAAGTACATGGTTTCTGAGTGCTAGAATTAAGCTTTAATCCAGGATTTCTGATTCCAAGTCCAGTGTTCTCTTGTGTCGAAACACAGGAATTTGACCAAAGTAATCACTGGAGAATTACTCTTTTAAAAGACATGGGTTTTATTCGAATTTTGCTAAATCATTCAGAAATGATGATGATTAATTGCTATCTGAGTAACAGGGGGTAAGTCTCTTTAACTTTGAGGGCAGAGCAAATGGTAACTTTTCTGTCAAGGCACTTCAGAAACCTGGTGGTGGAAGGCCATGTTGCTCGGTCCGCAGGACACATCCAGGGCCCCAAGATGGCGGACACCAGCACGTGTTCAGCCAGCAGTCAGGCTCTCTGAGTGCAGCTGGCCCTCTGAGCCCCTCCGTCTGTCATCCCCTTGCCACACGTATCTCCTCTCCACGCCTTGAGAAACTAGTGGAGCAACACTTCCCTCAGGGGACTTGCTGAGGCTCATCACAGTGCCTCTGTGGAAGGTGCAAAAAGCACCGAACCCTCACTGCTTGGGAATCAAGGGAGCGCAGCAGGATGCAGACGAAAGCAGAGTGAGCTAACCCTGAATCTTGAGCAAGAGTCACCTGTCCAACAGGATGGCGATCATGTTTGTTTCCCGTGCACGGAAGCAGCCGGTCAGCACCTATGAAATCAGCATAGGTCTAGGACGGGGCCTTGGTTAAGGCCACCTCTCCCTGCTACTGCCATACCTGACCACCCCTCTGTCATAGATCTTGTCACACCCACTCTCTCAGTCACTTGTCTTTAAAGGTCTCTGTCATCCCTACTAGGTAGTGAACTCTTCCAGGGCAGAGACTCTGGTTTTTAATTGTTGTTTGAAAAAGGGTGTCACTGTCACCCAGGCTGGAATGCAGTGGCCGGACCAGAGCTCACCACAGCCTCAAACTCCTGTGCTCAAGTGATATTCCCACCATGGTCTCCCAAGTAGCCGGGAGTACAGGCGTGTGCCGCCATGCCCAGCTAATTTTTTATATTTTTGTAGAAGTGGGGTCTCACTGTGTTGCCCAGGATGGTCTTGAACTCCTGGGCTCAAGGAATCCTCCCATCTCAGCCTCCCAAAGTGCTGAGATTACAGGTGTGACCCACTACACCTGGCTAAGACTCTGTTTTAGGCAACTCTGTATTCCACTTGACCCAAAACAGGTGTGCATAAAATGTTTAAATGTTTTCAGAAAAAATAAATGAGTATATAACATGAATTGTTACTTGACTTCAATGGGCTTTTACTTCTTTTTTTTTTTTTTTTTTTTTTTTTTTTTTTTTTTTTTTTTTTGAGATGGAGTCTCACTCTGTTGCCCAGGCTGGAGTGCAATGGTGAGATCTTGGCTCACTGCAACCTCTGCCTCCCGGGTTCAAGTGATTCTCCTTCCTCAGCCTCCCAAGTAGCTGGAATTACAGACGCCCACCACCATGCCCAGCTAATTTTCTGTATTTTTAGTGGAGATGGGATTTCACTATGTTGGTCAGGCTGGTCTCAAACTCCTGACCTCAGGTGATCCACCTGCCTCAACCTCCCAAAGTGCTAAGATTATACGTGTGAGCCACCATGCCCAGCTGGATTTTGCTTTTTAGATACTTGCAGTGGGTAGCTCTATTAAGATGGCCCCAACATGGTAGTCATGCTCTGGGGTAGGACATCGACCTTCCTCCTGACCTGCATTTTGGTTCTGACCGGAATGAAGTCAGTGCATTGGCCGGACTGTGAAGATGGAGATGTTGCAATGGTAACAAGAGATCCAAAACCAAGAACTCTGGTTAGGTAATGTTTTGGAGAGATCGTCCTGTCCATGGATAAAGCAGTTGGCTTGCACCTTGTGTTTTCCAAGGAAGGACACAGACCAGTGGGTGTTATTGGGGGTTGCTATGATGTTCAGACCAGAGCACCTCCCCCATCTGTACAGGGTGGTTTAAGTAACCCTGTCAACCTAGCAAAATGGCTAATTCAGAAGAACTAAGTTCTTCAACACTGAACATGATCAAGCAGAGGGCGTCCAACCATCAGATAATGAGCATCTCTACATGATTAGGTTACCTTGAAGGTGACATTCATCTCTCTAGGACGCTTTTACTTCGGTCTGTCCATGGTACTATCATTTATTTTCTAATCCTGTTGTTATTTAAGGTGTGAATTTAACTGTCTATCCCAATGGATTTAGTCCGTTTTCAGGACTGAACATTTAGGCAGAGAGATCAGGTTAATTCAATACAGTGATCAATTAGTGTGTTAGAAGTTTGTTTAGGCTGAATCAGATTGTACATGGGTATGCAGACATGACTTTCTGGCTCTGATTAACCAGACACCAATCTTTTCTCGAGGCAGATTCTCTGAAGCCAGGTCTGATTTGCACTTTTAAACAATTGACTGGAAGAGGAAAATTGCTAAGTGCAGAGGCCAAGATGAAGTGCCTGCCACCAGGATTTCTAAAGCTCAGAATTCCCAGCCAAGCACCAGACTCAGGGAAGGCCTTTAAGAAACTCAGCTGTAGCTAATTTTGGTATAAAGTCATCATCTTGGATTAATGCCTCCATTTAAACATTCAAGAAAAAAATTTTAAGGAGTTTTCTGATTATGCAGAATTAGACCACGAAGTATTTGCATAACTCCAATCCTCTCACAGCATCTAGTCCTGTAACATTTTCCAGGACAAGATGGCAACCTATGCCTGTTGCATTTTTACACATTTTGCAAAAATTGTAAGTCTCATAAAATTGTGGTCACCATCATGTTTTTCTTCTCTTAGACGAGCAAAGGAGATTGTGCTGAAGTTCGAAGGGAGGCTGACCAGGACCCGAGGCTACCAAGCAGCAGGTGCAGAGGTAAAGAACACACACATGAGCACCGCCACCCCTTCCTGTGGTCTCCAGAACCAGGAGGTTGTGTCGGCCATTCCACCTGTCATCATACAGAGGTTGCAAGCGCCAGTCTGTAATACAGCTGTAGATCAGGATGATAGCGTTGAAAACTATGAGTTTCCCAAGACTTGAACTTTACTCCTAGATGCCTTCCCTCCCAATTGTGTGAGGCTGGGTAAGCCTAATTGATCAGGGGAAAGGATGTCTTCCTTGGCAGAAGTGATCTAGCATCTCTCCTGAGTTAATCCCACCATATTTGTGGGTTTCATTCACTGTGTCTTAGTCCCAGCTGTATTTCTTAGAGTGAGAAAGTTGCAGGCATGTGACAATGCTTATTTTATAAAACAGTGTTAAGGTTTTTGTTTGTTATTTTTTCCATTCAGTTACTTAAAGAAAAAGTATACATCAGAATTATAAACAAATAAAAATTATGTTTATAAAGTCATTTCATAAGTGTGTAGAAAACAAAGAAAAATAACAACTCCTTCTATACCCTCTACTCCCCAATATAATATCGTTTTAGAAATTTCATGTCATTGCATACATATATTATTTTCACACCATAGTAATTGTAGTGTACACGCATTTCTGTCTTGCTTTTTTCATATAACATCATTATACAATTTTTTCCATGTTGCTATATAGTTTTCATATTTAATGGTTTTCAATGACTGTGTGGCATTCCATTAGACAAATGTATATTAATTTAATTAGTGATTTGGCTGCTGGTGGATATTTAATTGCTTCTGATTTTTCATTATTATTAATAGCCTTACAAAGAACATCTTTGCATAGATTTTTCTATCTTTTAGAATTTCTTTCTTAGCCAGAACTACCATCACTATAGAAAAGACTGTGGTCCATTTTTTTGGCTTTCGATAAATATTTAAAGATTATTTTCTAAAAGCCTTGATTATCTATGTTGCCATTATTGGTCTCATAATCCCTGCATCAATGTTTATTATATTTTGTGTTTGTTATCTTGAGGGACAATAACTGACGTATATACTCTTAGATTCTCTGAAACAAAAATAGTCTTAATACAGTTTAAATTGGAAACCACACTGCCACGTGTGTACCTATGCAACAATCTTACATGCTCTTGACATGTACTCCAAAACCTAAGATGCAATTAAAAAAAATAAAAATACAGTTTAAATTAAAGCTGGTCCTAAATTTTACATGTCTGAAAGATTGTAAAATATCAAAGAATCCCTAAGGACACATCTTGGGCATTCTTAGTTCTTACTCTTCACAAAATCTTCTTTAAAATTCTGATCTGTTTTTATGACCAAAACACACATGACTCTTCATTCCCGTCACACTATGATGGAGTTTATGAAATAAATTATCTTTTTAGAGACATATGAACTACCAAAGTCTTTTGTTTTCTCTAAATAAGATGAAATGCTATTGGCAATAAAGTATTTCACTTGAATTCAAATGACCTATAATATATATAAATAACAATGAAAAGTTGTTGGCACTTTTAGCAATAGTAAGCTCCGTATAAATTAAAGGTATAACTTGATAATGGACTGAGTTATTCGAAGCAGAGTTTTTAGACTGAGGAAGGTAATTCAACGTTTTGGCTCGCTCCTCTCTCCTCCATCCTCTTCTGTAAAACGTTCAGCTTGTGCTGACTTTTACTCTTCCCATTTCCTTCTCCTTCAAGTCTCAGCTCAAGTATGACCTCCGCAGCTAGACCTTCCCTGACCTTGTTTAAAGGGCCTTCTCCCCTAGTCCTAATAGACTGTGTCCCATTGTGGCATGGACTCGGTTGTGGCTTGCCTCTACCTGAACGCAAGCTCCACACCAGGTAACACCTTGCATGTCTTGTTCACTATCTGCATTCATAGGAAAACACAGCGTAGGTGCTTAATGCATGTTATGAATGTAATACATACATTCATGAACTGTCATACATATTGTTAGATCTGATACATACATATGCATATATGTATGATATATGTATATATCACATATCTAACAACATGTGTGACAGTAGATGTTGGCATGTTGATAGGTCAGCACAATCTAGGTGCTTAATACATAATATGAATATACTTTTCATGAACTATCATGTATATTGTTAAATTTCTTCTGGGTGGACATGTAAGTCCTTCCAAAGAAAGAACTTATTCTTAGTTACCAAAGCTCAATAACCCAAACCCACAATCAGGATCTATTTCTTCCAAATTTAGTTTTTCTTTGTTTGGATTTTGCTTTGCTCTTAAAGTTTGAATTATTAACGTTTCAAGGCTTTTGCTGTGGAGATTTGGTATAAATCATCAGAGAAGCATGAAATTTTATTTCCCCACGGCTTATTGAATATGTCATCAACAAATCACCTTTTCCATCACATTGTCCTCTAAGAAGTTCCTTTAGGCCAACTTGCATAGAGTAGCATTCCCAGAGTGAGCATCTGGGCCATTCAATCCAGCACTCCCTAACCTGAGTTCAGGGGCCCTGGCTCCTCAAGCACTAGTGGCAGGGTGGTGGGGGAGACGTTTTGCCCCCACCTACAAAGGCTGCTCTGCCTTAGCCTGTTGCATGTATGAAAATTCCCATACAACTTGAAATTTATAGAGCACTCTGAATGCCACTACTTGAATCTTACTTCTTATACAGATGGAGAAATGGAATCCCAAGGAAAGAAAATAACTTCCCCAGGGACACATAGTGAGATAGATGTGAAACTAGAGCTAGAACTCAGGTCTCTGGCTTTCTGCCCCATGCTTCTTAGACTTCAGGGGTTTAAAATGGGCCAGGGACTCAAATGCTTTCCAACACCAAACCCTTGCCAAAGGATGACAGAGCACCCCTTCCTCTAGATGCTGGGGTATAAAAGATCAGAAAGCCTCCATCTCCCTCTCTATGCTCTAGGAGACAAGCCAGGTGAACAAAATTAAGGTAATGTAAGGTAGGATATGATAAACATTATGAAAGAAACAAAAATATATTGCTAAGGGAGTTTATAAATAGGACAATTTCTTTGCTGGCTACGGAGAATCTGTGTTCATGGGAGTGGCTGTATTTGAGTTGGCTCTCAAATCATGAACAGAAGATGAACAATTCCAACTTCTGATAAAATTCAGATTTTCATTTACAAGCAGCTATTCTAGCCTTAGCAGACACGTCCAGAATGACATTATCATACATGCCTGTACCGGGACTGTGTGCGGTCTTAGAGTTCAGAATGTCATAATTACATTTGCAATCTCTCTTTCTGCAATGATATCATTTGCTTCCAGCACAGACCCAGATGGTTTGTGTGTTAAAATGCACAACCTGCCAACTTTGTTGGAAGCAGAACTACTGCCAGGACATGTCTTGCTTGATTCCCCTTTGAGAAATGTTTTTTAAACTTTTGGCAATTGCATCTTAAAAACATAAGACAAATTTCCAGACCTTATCCCCAGCAGCTCTATCCAGGAAAGAGGCTGGGAAGCGAGCTCTGTAGCAGGAGGCGAGTCCCACAATAGAGTGGGACTCATTTTCAGGGTAAGCTCTAGACTCGTCCTTAAACACGGATGCACTTGTAATCACCTCGGGGAGCTTGTTAGGCATGTGGATTCCCTGGCTGCATGCCAGAATCCCCACAGGTTTATGGCAGGATCAAGTGGATTTATTTAGATATCAGTCCTTGAGTCATTTCTATGGTGTCTTGTGGTTTTAAGACGCAATTGCCAAAAGTTAAAATCAAAAAATTATTTCTCAAAGATCAAGAGATACCCTGGATCAGTAACGCAAACTGCAGCCCTGTAGAATACGCACCTCAAACAGACACCATGGCTCAGATGCATTTCTATTCTACAGGGCTGCAGCTTGCATTACTCATCCAAAGCAGGTGTCCCTTCACCTGGCCAGGAGCACAGAGAAGACAAGGGGGCTACTTTGGTTCTAGTGCAGCTTAAAGGCCTGTGAAGCCATAAGCCAAATTAAAGGTACCAAAGGGAGTGTCTGGTCTACTCCATTTTTGGTGCCTAGTACTGCACAGCCATTGCCATCTTCAAGAATGTGACGTCTCTAACCCTGACCCCTCTTGTCTAGCTCTGGCGGAAATTTGCTCGTCTTGCCTGCAACTTTGTGGTCACCTTCATTCCCTGGGAAATGAGGATAAAGAAAATCGAGAGTAAGTATTTCCACTTGGAGAGTGAGGCAGGAATGCAGTGCTAGTGGCCAATCACAGCCTAAGGAGAGTCTGCAGTGTTCTAGTCCTTCTGCTGTGCAGCCGAGGGCACTCTCATGGCAGGGTCACCTCATAGCAGGGCACTTGCATAGCAGGCTCCACATGGGACAACAGATACGGAAGACAAGATACCTGTCCCCACTGCCTGCCAGGATGGAAACAGTCTCAACGTGGGCCTTTCCACCTTCTGCGGTGGCTCTGCTATTCTCTCCCAGTTCATGCCTTCAGTCAGATATAATGCAAACCCCAAAAAGATCAAGTGAAAACCCATGAGGATGAATAAGAGGGTAGCTCAGGGAACTGCCAAACACAAATACAAAAAGCTGGATTTTCATAGAGATGACTGTGCCCATTTACAAAACACATGCCAAAAAATAAATAAATCGTGTCTACGCTGACAGTGACACACACAATACCTGGAATAGATTTAACAATAAGTCCAAAATAAAGGAAACTGTAAAATTATACCACAGGATATAAAAGTTTTGTGAAAACACATACGAAGACTTAATATTCGGAAGATGTTGATTTTCCCAAAATTGATTTACAAGTTTGATGCAATCAAATAAAAATCTTAATGTATTGTTTTCAAGTATTTAAAAAAATGATTATAAAACTCATATGGAAGAAAAATATCCAAGAGATGAATAAAAAAATTTTAAGGAAGCACGCAAATGAAGTTGCATGACCAAGATATTAAAATACATCATAAAGCTACAACAATTGAAGCAGTATAACACAGTGGGGGAACTGACTGGCAAATCAAAGGAATAAGCAAAAAATTCAGGAACCGATAGGAATACATATAGACCTTTAGCATACAATAATTATTGAAGTCAGTCTAAATTACTGCATAAATATTGCTGGAACAATTGATTCAATTGTTTTAAAGAGTACGTTTAATTCCTTCACTTAAAATTCCATTACATATTTGAATAGACAATAAGAAACCATAAAGTGATTAAAGAAAATATAGGTGGTATGATTGCAGAATGGAGACATATCTAATCATAAAAGTGAAGGAGGAAAAAGTACTCTTATATTTAATTACTTAAAAAAAAGAAAATTTACATACATAAAAAATAAAGCTAAAAGATGACAAATTGGGAAAAACATGTTAAACATTTAAATGAATGAAGCAATTTGATATGTTAACAGAAATGTAAATTAGGACAGTGTTTCTTTTTTAAAAAAGTTTGCATATGTACCAAAAGTCTTCAGAATGTTATATACTTTGGTAATAGGCTTCCATTTCCTAAAAAAAAAAAAAAAAAGAAAAAAAGAAAAAAAAAAAAACAGAGAAAACTGTAATAAACTAAACAAACAAGGCTGGAGTAGCTGTCATTAGTGCTGTTCCCAGGTTGCCTTTCCTTGACTGGTCTACCTGTTCCTCAGCTGCTGAGTACGGACTGCTTGTCACTCAGCTGTTCCCCTTCAAAGAATTGCCCCAGGACTACCTCCTATCACCCCAATCCCCTACCCATCACCTACAACTTACAGGCGGTGACTGTTGACAGAGGGGCATTCAAGTCTGATCCTTGCTCCAAGTAGGACCAACTCAGTGGTACAATTCATGCTGTGGAGCTCCTGGTGGTCGACTCAGCTAGACTGCAGCTGAGATCATGCCCGTCCCCGGCTCTGTCCCCGAACCTTCCCTGACTCCTTCACAACTTCTCTACAGAGAGTGCTTCCTTGACAAATCACCTGTTGCCAAATCCCTTTCTCAAGCTCTGCTTCTAGGAAACCTTACCTTAGACAGAAATTATTTATGATAGAAGTATCCACCCATTTTTTATAGAATAGAAAATGTTATATTATTTATTATAGAACAGGTTGAAATGTCCTAAATGTCAAGTTGTGGGGAATAGTTTAAATACGTTATGAAAAATTCACTTGATGGAATGACAAAATGTATTTTATGGAAGAGTATTTTTGGCAAGAGAACATGTTGGTAATACACTGGCAATTGAAGATGTATGCTGGAGAGAAATGCCAATCTTATACAAAAACATATTTGTATAAAACATTATTTGTGAAGGGTTACACTAAAAGTCTAATAGAAACGAATTCTAATCATGATTTTAATTTAGTGATCTCAGAACAGGTAATTTTTCTTGGCCTTGTGATGTTTTGTGTTTTGCTACTCATTATGACAAACACAAACTAGATTTGAAATAAAAATTTAAGAATTTTGTTTAAGTACGACGTAAAACCACCTACTCCAGAATGTTGTCAAATTGTCACTTAGATATATCCTCATCTAAGTTCTTCTATACTCCTGGATTTTCTCAATAGATATAAATTTGTTTTTACTATGGTTTTTATTTTAGAATAAGTTTAGATGTATAGAAAAGCTGGGAAGAGTTCCCATGTACCCTTCACCCAGTGTCCGCTATTGTTAACATCTAGCAAATTGTGCTTTATCTTGAAATTAAGGCAAAAAGACCCTTAGCAAAATCCTTGAAATTTTCAAAATTATGTGAAATAGAAAAGAAATATGCCAGTCTTCAAAGATGCTGTTACTTGTTAACATACATGAAATACTGAAATTTGATAAGACCATTTCAGATGAATATGTCATTAGGGAAGGGACTAACAAATAGCATTTTAAAGAAACTAGAGATTTTACCTGCTTATAGAACTGATAGATATTCAGGGGCATCTTGATCTATCTAAGTGAACACTTAGGAAGCAACACCCCGATTGGTACAATAATGGCATTCTTACTCTAGGTCCTGTGGATGTAAGAAAAATTATGGTGTTCTTTTTGTGGGATTTCTTGCATATGCGGAATTATTAATCTGTTCTTATTATCTTGCCCTTCTTTAGGTCATTTTGGATCTGGTGTTGCTTCCTATTTCATATTCTTGAGATGGTTATTTGGAATTAATATTGTGCTCACCATCATGACAGGTGTTTTTATTGTCATTCCAGAGGTAAGATGTTTCAGGAGAGAAAAAAGTACCACTCATTTAAAGAAGAAAAAAAAAAAAAGGAGATATTACAGCAGTCACATAAAATGGCTCCTCTGGTTATCGCTGTGGGGAGGAATGTGTTTGGGTAAAGCAGGGCTTGGCAAACTTTTTCTGTAAAGGGCCACAGAATAAATACTTTAGGCTTCGTGGGCTATTTGGTGTTTGTCGCAATGACTCAAATCTGCCGTGTGGCACAAAAGCAGCCACAGACAGTCTATCAAGCAGTGAATGTGGCTGTGTTTCAATAAAATTGTATTTATGAATACTGAAATTTGAATTTTACATAAATTCTTTCGATTTTTTCCCCCAATCACTTAAAAATGGAAAACCATTCTTAGCTCTCGGGCCACACAAAAAGGCCACAGGCTGGATTTGGCCAACCAGCCAGTTTGCCAGCCCAAAGTTGAAATAATATCCAGACCATGTACATTATCCAGTTGATGGGTTCACAAAAGCCCAGACTTCACCATCATGTGATACATCTATGTAACAAAACCACACTCGTGCCCCTTACATTTCTATAAATTAAAGAAATAAAATCCATTTTTCAACTATACTTCATCCTCAAAAAGTACATGGGCCATTTCCAAACAGAGTCCTTAATAATCTACCCATAGAAACCATGTCTAGCTCAGCGAGACTACACCCAGATGAGCTCTAATCAGCCAAAAAGAAAATCCGGCCGCCCAAGATTAATTTTTCATCAATGAGAATCAAGCAGAAATCCACCCGCTGGAGATGTCTTATGTGCAACATTTTCACAAGCACATGGAGATCAACCTCTCATTTTCTCCTGGTCCCCTTCCACCCAGAGGACCACATGAAACACTTTCCTCTCTCACCAGCTGATTGCAGGCCAGCCCTTTGGAAGCACAGCCAGGAAGACCATCCCCAAGGAGCAAGTTTCGTCTGCCCAAGACCTGGACACCGTCTGGTCTCTGGGGGTGAGATCGATGCTTGCTCACACTCTTGTCTTGAGGGAAGGGGTGAATGGGCCACAGTTCTGAGACCTCGGAACCAGAAATTACACTGAGTGTTTTCTTTGCAGGGCTACCTCCAGTATTCAGTGCTCTTCTACGGGTATTACGGCAGTGAGAGGAAGATCGGAAGAGCTGGCTACCGGCTGCCCTTGGCATATTTCCTCGTGGGGATGGCAGTGTTTGCTTACAGCTTCATCATTCTTTTAAAAAAGTATGACTGCTTGGTTTCCCAAAATACACATCAAGCATTATGATATGTGCAATGTCATCTAATCTTGTCAATAGCCCCGTAAAGTTAAGGCATAGCTGTATCCATTTTACAGATAAGATCAAGGCATGTTGATTTTTAACATACTTACTGAACACTTACTGCTTTATACTAGGTCTTAGGTTGGGTCTGGAAATACAAGAATCATATAGATTTACCAGCTTATGTAATTTTAGACAATGCAGTAGCTGCACTAATACGGACGTAAGCAATATGATCTAGGTGACCAGAGGTTGCAAAAAGCAACACGTCCTCCCTTGGTTGTATATTTGTTTGCCTGGGACCTAGCTACAGATTCTGCAAAGGCCAGGCTTGTCTATGCTGTGATGCAGTTGGCACCTCTAGGGCATCACTGGAGGAGGCAAAATGCAAAAGAAGAAATCTGGTAGGGGTTAGGAGCCCTGTACCACCCCCACTGTGAGACCTGCAGGAACTCACCTTCCTTCCCTGGGCCTGATCTGTAAAATGGGCAGGTTGGCTCAGGACATCACCAGGTTTCCTTCCAGCTTACCATTCCAAGCCTCTGTGCAGGAGCTAGAGAAATGCAGACTGACCCGGAGGCTCCAAGCCCCAGGGAAAAGCTGGCCCCACCCACGCTGGCTCACCTGCTGCTTCTGCTTGATTTGTGTTACCACCCTTCACCACCCTACCCCCAGATAGAAGCGCTTGGTGTAAACAAGAGGATAAACAAATAAACAAAAATTGAGGTGGTGCATAATGACCTGGGGGCCTTCAGTTGCCCTGAAGCTTTCCAGTTTATCTTCTGGTGGCTTCCAGGACCCACATGGAAGACTCCGGCCCTTTACTAGACATACAATGTCAGAGACAGATTAAAGCAAAATTGGAATCAAGAAATATGGATGGAGAGGAGAGCTTATTACAGGAGAAATGCTCTAAAAAGTAGGCAGAGTTTCACCTGAGGAGGGATCACTACTGCCTTCAAATATCTAAAGGCATGTGTGAAAGAGGGACCCAGCACGTTATGCGGAATCCCAAGGGGAAGAGTTCCCATGGGAAGGAGCTCCACGAAGACTGATTCAAAGGAAAGAATTTTATTTCACAATCGCAGCTACAGAGATGAGAATAGCTCCTGGGGGGACACACAACTGTAGTGACCTGCTGGGCACCACAGTGGTGGGACTCCTTGTCAAATGAAATCACACCATCATGGGCCATCACAGTTTTCACACTGTTGGAAAGTGTTGCCGAGGTCACAAGCATGAGCTGAAATCCAGTCCCTGCTGTGCTGGCCAAGCTGTGACCCGAGGAGCTGCGTCCATCTAGAGGGGAGCAGCCTACTCTAATTCACACAAGGGTTCCGTGGGTGCTTGCTACAGCCCCCTATTCCTGAGACTCCTATAACCTGTTTGTGCTCCTCTTTCGCAGGATGGCTAAGAACTCCCGCACAAGCCTTGCCAGTGCTTCCAATGAAAACTACACCTTCTGTTGGCGGGTGTTCTGTGCCTGGGATTACCTCATTGGAAACCCGGAGGCTGCAGAGAGCAAAACAGCCGCCATTGTGAACAGCATCAGGGTGAGTGAGTGAGCCTGTGCAGGCTGCGGGGCGGGCAGCGCGGGGTCAGAGCCAGCTGCCGGCCCTCAGCTGGAAGCCAGAACTATCCTCTTCCCATTGATGTTCACTGTCCAGGGCAGCTCTTTCCAAAGTAAGGTGGACATGCTCCAGGAAATGTACCAAAAGACTCAGTGAAGGGAAGGATAAACATTTGGAAACTTCTTTTTAAATTTTTCTATGTTATCCTTTTAAAATTTCAGTTTGTAATTTTAGGTAATTTACATAATGGATTATTACCATGTTTCATGTATATAACCTGAAAACGAATGAATACATGTATGTGAGGGATATAGACTTTTACTTTTAACATAAAACAGTGCAATCAGAAATATTCAGAGACTTAGCTCTACTGAACTATACAGACAGTTAAATGATGCACTCTTTTGCGGAAAAAAATCTATTTAGATAATTTAAATTATTACAGCCACACTATCTCTGATCCCTCTTCCCAACCCCCAATATCCTTTTTTCAACTGATTATTAGATAACTGATATCTAATTCATTTACATCAATTGAATCCTACAGAATAAAGTCCTAGATATGGCAGGTATGAACTAAATTGCTGGGTATATTTCTAATGATTTAAAATTAATGGTGATGCTAAGCTTTTAATGCTGTATGTACTTTTCCTTACAGGAGGCGATAGTGGAAGAACAGGAGAAAAAGAAGACCAAAAACCTGTAGGTATTGACACTCCCCATGTTGAATTCATTGATAAGTTTTGTTTTTAGTTCGGTGCAAAAACTACCAGAACATCTATACTGTATCTTATTTTCACAATTGTCAGGTAGCATTTCTTTCTTCCCTTCTCATAATGTGATCTGAGGGAACCGAATGATTTTTCCATAGCAATATTTAGGACGACTTCCTCCTTCCATACATCCTGCCACAAGGATGAGAGGGTGGTCGATGAAATCGACCAGTTTCTTATTTCTTATTCTTTTACTTAGATAATCAAGGAGGTATTTTGAGCACCAACTTACACTGTTAAGAGTAGTTTTATTTAGAAACAAGTCATAAGACACAAATACTATCCAGTTGGTGTTCACAAGCCTTTCAAGATGATTTCCTAGGTTCAAGATTCTTCTCGAGATCTTGAGAACTATGGTGGTAAGGGTGAGGCCCTTCAACCAGAGAACTAATGAAAGGGAAAGCCATTCCCAGGGAGGGGCTACGGCTCTGACCTCCCGGAGACAGGTAGGTCTGCTCATCCCACATCTGACTGGTTATTTGGCCCTCATGATTAGTTCCTACAGTGCAGAAAGCCCGTTCAGAGATTTGTAGAAAAGGACACGGGAAATTCAGGATACACAAGCAGCCTCTGGAATACTGAGGGAACTTAGGGAGGCGGGAAGGAGTTGGGAAGGGCTGTCCGTAGGGAGTGAGAAGACACAGATTCTAGTCCTGTCTTTGTCATTAATGTTAATGACCTCCACACCGCTCTTGAACCTCCTGAACCTGAAGTTCTTCACCTATAAAATAAAACTATGGGATTCTGCCCCTGACTCTTTCTCTGTAGCTCTCCTCCACCAGAGTTGGTAATAATAATAACGTAATATGCCGTGTTGTTATTTTTACCAAGCAAGGTGAGATTTATCGTCTCATTTCAGAATGTTTCCTCATTGTGCAAATGAAGGGCCATACCATGTATAAATGGGAGTGTTGTGAGCTGCCCAAAGCCCCCAGTGGGTAGAATTTCATGGAGAAGATACTATACCTTGCATTCCCCTTCAAATCCTCTTGAAGGATACCTTTCTCCAGCCCTTGCTGCTGGGTAGGACTGTGCAGGCCACCACCAGCTACACGGATGTACCCCTTGCTGGTACTCACCGTTTGGTGCCCCAGGGATCTTCTGAGGCTGCAGTGCAGGGCATCCACAAGACCCCAGTCAACACACATGAATGTGCAACCAAGAGGCTGGGCGCAACGCTGGGAGGGAATGCTCTTGGAGCTACCTGGGACTGCTGGGAATAAATGCTTTCCTATTTCACACTGGGCAGACGGCTCTGTCAGGCATTTCATAAGCCCCTCAGAGGGCCCTGCCGTTGCCTCAAGCTGCTGCCAACCCCACTGCATGTCCTCGTACTGATGGCTCCTCTTTTCTGCTCCACTGCAGGACCTGCACTCCTGCTTTCTGGGAACACTTCCCAAATAAACTACCTGCAAAAAGGCCTGGGATTCCGTTGTCAGGGAAGCCAGGCTAATACAGGCTCCAAAGTTGGCAGAAGAAGGTGCCTTCAGAATAGGCCAATTGAAGCCAGACAGGGAGTTGTCCTCCAGTGTTAGAAAAAATGGGTGTGTTTCAGTTCAAACCAGAAACAGGGGTGTAAGTACCAGAATCATTACCGATTCACAGACCTGCCCTCACTGTCAGAGACACTTGAGAAGTGAGACCAAATGAGGAAACAGATGAGCCCCGTGTCTCCCATCTCATAGTCATTTAGTTGCTTCTTTATTTACTTATTCATCTAGCAGATACTCATGAAGCATCTGTATACGCTAAGCCTGTTATAAGAGCTGACGATACAGCGCTGAAAAAGACTAAAAAACTTAGAGCTTACTTCTAAAGAGAAAAGACGTTTAAGAAACTCCCAAAGGGAGACAGTCACATGTTGCATTGTGGCAGGGTTGCATTCCAAGAAATGTGTCTTTATGCAATGCTGTCCTTGTGTGAACATCACAGCATGTACTTACACAAACCTAGATCGTATAGCCTCCTACACACTGAGGCTATATAGTACAGCCTATTGCTCCTAAGCTGCAAAGCTAAACAGCATGCTATTACACTAAACACTGCAGGCAATTGTAACATGGTATTTGTGTACCTAAACATATCTTGACATAGAAAGGTATAATAAAAATGTGGTATAAAAGATTTAAAAATGGTACACCTGTATAGAACAGTTACCATGAATTAGCTTGCAGGTCACGCAGAGCAGGAAGTTGCTCTAAGTGAGTCAGTGAGTGAGTGACGAATGAACATGAAGGCCCAGGACACCGCTGTACACTAACACTAGCGCGGAGTTTATACCTTAAACACTGTACATTTCGGCCACACTAAATTTATTTTGTAAGGTTTCTTTCTTAATAATCATCTTAGTTTACTGTCACTTTTTTACTTTATAAACTTTTACATTTTAGAAAACTCTTTTGACTCTTTTGTTATGCTTTAAGAAACACCGTGTACAGCTGTACAAAAACATTTCTTCTTTATATCCACATTTTATAAGCTTTGTTCTATTATTTATTTATTTATTTACTTTTTACACTTTTTTGTTGTTGTTGTTGTTGTTAAAAACTAAGACCAGGCCGGGAGCGGTGATATGTACCTTTAATCCCAGCACTTTGAGAGGCCAAGGAGGGCAGATCACATGAGGTCAGGAGTTCGAGACCAGCCTGACCAACATGGGGAAACCCCATCTCTACTAAAAATACAAAAATTAGTCGGGCATGGTGGTGCACACCTGGAATTAGCTGGGTGTGGTAGCATGCACCCCAGACAGGAGAATTGCTTGAACCCAGGAGGTGGAGGTTGCAGTGAACCAAGATTGCATCAATGCACTCCAGCCTGAGCAACAAGAGCAAAATGCCATCTCAAAAAAAAAAAAAAAAAAAAAAAAGACTAACACACACATTAGCCTGGGCCTGCACAGGGACAGGATAATCAATATCACTGCCTTCCACCTCCGCATCTCATCCCGCCGGAAGGTCTTCAGGGGCAATAACAAACATGGAGGAGTCATCTCTTATGGTAACAGTGCCTTACCCTGGATGCCTCCTGAAGGACCTGCATGAGGCTGTTTTACAGTTAACATTTTTTTAAATAAGTAGAAGTATACCATAAAATAATGATAAAAAATAGAAATACATAAGCCAGTAACAGTTGTTTAATATCATTATCAGGCCGGGCACGGTGGCTCAAGCCTGTAATCCCAGCACTTTGGGAGGCCGAGGCGGGTGGATCACGAGGTCAAGAGATCGAGACCATCCTGGTCAACATGGTGAAACCCCATCTCTACTAAAAATACAAAAAATTAGCTGGGCATGGTGGCACGTGCCTGTAATCCCAGCTACTCAGGAGGCTGAGGCAGGAGAATTGCCTGAACCCAGGAGGCGGAGGTTGCCATGAGCCGAGATCGCGCCATTGCACTCCAGCCTGGGTAACAAGAGCGAAACTCCGTCTCAAAAAAAAAATATATATCATTATCATGTATGTACTATACTTTTATATAACTGGCAGGGCCGGAGGCTTGTTTACACCAGCGTCATCACAAACATGTGAGTACAATGCATTGCGCTACGATGTCTTGAGCCATAGGAATTTTTCAGCTCCATTATAATCTTATGGAACCACCACCAAATATGCAGCCCATCATTGACCAAAACACCACTATGTGGCACGTGACTGTACAATGTCAGATTCATTATATAGGATGATAAATCACGAGTCCTCCTTGCCTCTCTTCCTGCCTCCCTCCCTCTGCTGAATGCATTTACTTGAATTCCTATATCTTTAATGTTCATATCACAAAATTCCAATTTTAAGCAGCAAAGCAAGAACTTAAACCCAAATGCTCTGACTCTAAAACCAGAGCTGTTTGTTGGTTCGTCTGTTTGTTTCCAGCCCCACTGACGGCAGGCTGGTTGAATTTATGGCTCGTTGTTGATCTCGTAGGAAATGAGGAATCTGAATGTGTGGGGTGGGGTGGGCTGGAAGAGCACTGAAGCTTCAGGGCAGAGAATTCTCTTGGCAGCGGATATAGCCCAGTCCCTGAGTAGTATTGTCTGCATCACGGTGCCGTAAGCAGAACCCTGTGTACTGTCCTCATCCCTGCTTCTCTCCCCAGGGCAGTGACGATCTGCCTGAGGATCGTTGCCAACATCCTGGTCCTTCTCTCGCTGGCTGGGAGCATTTATCTCATCTACTTTGTGGTCGACCGGTCCCAGAAGCTGGAGCAGTCCAACAAGGAGCTGACACTTTGGGAAAAGAATGAGGTACCCACTGCCATTACCTGCGGCACCCCTGAAAAGAGACACAGCTGGGCGCGGTGGCTCACCCCCGTAATCCCAGCACTTTGGGAGGCCAAGGCAGGTGGATTACTTGAGGTCAGGAGTTGGGAGTCCAAACTGGCCAACACGATGAAGCCCTGTCTCTACCAAAAACACAAAACTTAGCTGGGTAAGGTGGTGCACCCCTGTAGTCCCAGCTACTCGGGAGGCTGAGGCAGGAGAATCACTTGAACCCAGGCGGTGGAGGCCACAGTCAGCCGAGATCATCCCACTGCACTCCACCGTGGGCAGCAGAGTGAGACTCTGTCTCAAAAGAAAAGAGAGAGACAGAGAGAGACACAAAAGTAGGCTGCCTCTCTGTACCTTACGTGGGAATATCTCCAGGGAAAAACTAGTCCTCTTGTCCTAGGGCATGGAGTACAAAAACTTTGAGCCAGAGGGGCAGCACTAAGGCTTGGCTAAACACTTTTAATCATCTCCCTTGGGAAAGAGTTTGATTCAAAATCACCTTCAAGCATTTACACCATTCTCTGCCTTTGAGCCTCGCCGACTGTGTTTTGCCTTTTGCACGTCTGTTTCTTCACATCCGTGTTCCACAAATTGATTCTATCTGCACAATGGACTTAACAACTGCGCTTATTCCATTGTATGGATTAAAGTTGACCGGGTGCCATTTGTGAATATTTAGGTAGTTTCTGAATATCTAAATGACAAATAATGCTTCCAGAACCAGCTTCACGCAAATGGTTTGTTTTTTAAACAATCATCTCTCCCCATCCCGTTGTGTGAGTATTCCCATAAACAGAAAATTACCAAGTGAATGGATATGAATAATTTTAGAATTCTAAATATTCATTGTTAAGACCATTGTCCTGAAAGGTTGGTCCAATTTACCTATACAGATTTGAAAAGCAGAAATAGCACAAAAACCACCTTTCAGACCATTTCTATGAAAAATATTACCATTCGTTGGAATTTAAACAGAAAGGTGTGTAAGATGGTCATCAATGTATCATATTTATCACTGTATAGTAATTTATCAAAATCTGAGTCTACCCTAGGCAAACTTTTCCCATGCCTCTCTTTTATGTCAATTAAGTCAGTTACTATGTGTTTGTATGTTTGCAGATAGAAAGATGAATAGTTTTTTAAAGATATATTCAGAAATTATTTATCTCAACCATCTTACATACCAGCTAAAACTCTTCTTTCTTCTGCTATAAGTACAGAGAAACAAAAGCCAGGCATAATTCTCTAGATAATTAATCTTCCATATGCAGAAAGAATATTACATTATCTCTCAGTGTTTCCTTTTTTATTGGTAATATTTGCAGTTATTTCCATCTTCCGTCCAAGGTCAGGGAAGTATAAATACAGTGCGATGGTAATTGGGGAAAATGTGGCAGAAATGCTAATGAATCCTGTTCGTTTTTTGAGTCAAGGTTTCACTCTGTTGCCTAGGCTGGAGTGCAGTGGCCCAATCACAGCTCACTGCAGCCTCGAACTTCTGGGCTCAAGCAATTCTTCTGTCAGTTTCCTGACAAGCTGGGACCATAGCCATGCGCCACCTTTTTTTTTTTTTTTTTTTGGTAGAGATAGGATCTTGCTGTGTTGCCCAGGCTGGTCTTCAATGCCTGGCCTCAGCAGTTCTCCTGCCTCAGCCTCCCAAGCCTCCCAAAGTGTTGGGATCAAAGGTGTGAGCCACCACACTTGACCTAGTGAATCCCAAATGCCATGTATGCGTGTCCTCAGAACATCTGAGGAGAGTTCACAAAAAAGGGGGCCATGATAAAGTGGTGGCCACCTTTTGAAAAAAGCTAATTAGCAGATATTTGGGGAGATTTTCCATGTGGGACCCAAGGCCTCTGTGGATACCCACTGATCCGATATTAGGGAAAGAGATCAAATGCACACGGTGATGCTTGGTGGGGGATCCTGGGAATGCCTGGCTCTGGCATATGCTCTCTCAGCAGGTCAGCGTGGTGGTCTCCCTCGTTACCATGATAGCACCATCAGCCTTTGACCTCATTGCCGCCTTAGAGATGTACCACCCCCGGACCACACTGCGCTTCCAGCTTGCAAGGTACGACAGCCCTGCCCCGAAATGCCACCTGTGACTCGCCCATGTGCCCACCCACAGTGGAAATGTAAGTGCCTCAAGAGCCAGGGCTTGCTGCTTTTCCCCAGACACTCAGCACAGAACTTTACCTATGGATGCAACTCAAGAAAAGCATAACCCAAGAGGAGAGATAGAGGAGGCAGAGGAAGAGGAGGGGGGAGGAAGAGGACCAGGATGACAAGGGTAGAAGAAAAGAATTAAAAAGAATGAAGAAGAGAAGGCGGAGGAGGAGGAGGAGGAGGAGGCGGAGGAGGAGGAGGAGGAGGCGGCGGAGGAGGCGGAGGCGGCGGAGGAGGAGGAGGAGGAAGAGGAGGAGGAGGGGGGGGGGGAAGGAAAAATGGAAGAACAGGCAGAAAAAGAGGATACAAAAGGCAACCAGGAAGAGGACTGACAGTGTATCTGCTTCTCCTCACTGCTGTGTTCTCTCCATGGTTTAACTCTGAGTGCTTAGAGAGACCCACGTTGTTCCTCCAGACATGAGAAGAGCAGTCAGTGCTTCGTGAACAGCTCTACCAACAGTATAGACTCAAAGATACTGGGGATATGCCTGGAAGCTTTGCCAGGATAGTCAGCGGCTGTGACAGCAGGTGGTCGATGCAGATCTGAGCAACAGTAGGCTGGGGTCCCGGAGGGGATGTCCTGGGACACCTTCTGTGGAAGTCAGAGTAACCACACTCATTTTGAGCACTGGCTTTATCAGTATTTTCCTGAAAACGTTGCCTCTCCTCCCTGGAGTATGGTCTCTTCATCTGTAAATTTCAGCTTCTGTAGGAGGGTTGGGTGAGGCATGGTTAAACTGAATGTGGCAGGGGGCAGGCGGTGGGAGCCCTGCTTACCTGCTTCCACCTTCACCCTGATCTACACAGGCCTCTCCCTGTTTCCTCTTGTGAACACCTAATAACAGTCTACAAAACTAATTATCCACGGACCACTTTAGGAAGACTTGCTCTCATTCAGGAACTGGCAAACATCTCCTGAAAAGAACCAGATAGTAAATATTTGTGGTTTTGTGGGTGCAGCCGATGAACAGGTGTGGTGGTGTTCCAGTACCACTTTACTGACAAAAATAGGCAAGGGTACGGTTTGGTTTGAAGGTCATAATTTCCAACCTCTGAAATTCAACTGTCATTTCAAAGAGAGAAAACATGACTAGAAAGAACACGGAGTTGGTCAAACCTTCATGGCTCTGGGTAGAGCTGGGATGAGCCTCTCACCCCGCTGGCTCATATTCCTGCTTCTTTCCGCCCCACCCGGCACCTATTTTGACTGCAAGAGAGAAGCTCCTTCTTCACTGGCAAGCACTGGGGAGAATCAATTCCATTATTGCATTTGGTCTAAAGGCAATCCTATTATATAGATTGGCCTCGTTATTCATGTTCAAAACTAGAGAAACAAAGGCATCAGAGACTTTCCCCAGACAAATCAGGGCTAATTCTGGTAATAAGCGAAAGACATATTATTTCAGTTCCATTAACTCACCAGCAGACTGTATTACCTTCTATCCAAGGCACAGTGAAAACCAAAGTGATGGTAATGCCGAGACAGCAGGAGATGAAATGCATTCAATCCTTCCTTTGGCCAACGTTAACTGAATACATACTTTGTGCTCAGTACCGTACATGCACTGTGCCCACAGGAATCCCTGCTCAGTTCAGAGGGAGAGCCCATGTGCGTGCGTTACAATGCTATCCCCTAGAGATGTCGCTTTCCTGTTCTCTGCCCACTGCCTGCAGGCTATACCTGAAGACATGCAGGAGGCCTGGGGGGATGGTTTCAATTTAGAGTCTTTTCCTCAAGATAAAGATACTTTCCCATCAACTGTCTCAGTTGGTTTCATGATTCTCCCATCAATTGGCTTCATGGTTCTCCAAGGGCTAAACGTTGTCCTGTTGAAGTGTGTATAAACCTGTCATTTCCTTTCTCACTCCACGGCTGCATCCTCGGACATTCCATGTGTTTCTAAAACCTTTCAGCACTAGGGAAGCTGACCTCAAGTCTTTGATCACTGGCTAATCTAGACTGTTGCCGGCAGACTCCATTGACTCCTAGTAGCCGACAGGGTGCAGCTGTACCCATAGCCTCTCAGAGCATGTTTCTGAGGGTTCCAGCCTGTATTTCAGAAGCAGAGCACTGAGATCTTGAAATTGTATTCTGCTGCTTTTTAACTGTGTGAACTTGGGCTGGTGACTTAGCTCCCTCTGTGTTTCAATACACTTATTCCTTAAGTGGGGATTATTACAGAGCTGTTGTGAGGATCAAATGAGATAATGCATGGGAAATCAATCATAAACCGGAAAGCATGACTCATATACTACACATTAGAGCCCCACTTCCTAAATTCACACTTGCTGCTTCTAGTGTTTGTAAAGTACAGATCCAAGGATGGGCTACAGCAGAATCACCTGGAAAGGCTGTAAAACAATTTCTAGACCCCTTCCAGACCTACTAAAGGTGGATTCTGGAACTCTATTGTTTTAAAAATGCCCTTAAGGTGATTCTAAAGGAAATCAGTTGTGGCAGCCACTGCCTTAATATATCCACGGCCGTCTCTAGAACCATGTGGGGGCTCTAGAACCAATGGACTTATGTGCGATGGTCTTGTCTCTCAAGGTGGGCTTATGGCTTTCAGGGTCCTTGTGCTGTATCTGGGAAATCTCTACAGCCTGATCATTGCTCTCCTGGACAAAGTTAACAGCATGAGCATTGAGGTGAGTGCCCATGCCAGACAGTTGCCTGCCCCACCTCTGCCCTCCCTGCTACCTCCTCCTGACATCAGGGTCATCGTCATGGACAGATCACTGCTTATGCTTACAACAACTCTCACTTTGGTGCCCAGGCTGGAGTGCTGTGGCATAATCACGGCTCACTGCAGCCTCAACCTCCCTGAGCTCAAGTGATACTCCCATCTTAACCTCCAGAATATCTGGGACTATAGTCCCATGCCACTGCATCTGGCTTTTTTTTTTTTTTTTTTTTCTGTAGAGACAGGGTTTCACCATGTTGCTCAGGCTGGTCTCAAACTCCTGGGCTCAAGCGATCTCCCTGCCTCAGCTTCCCAAAGTCCTGGGATTACAGGTGTGAGCCATCACACCCAGCCTGGTGTCTGCTTTCAACCTGCCCCACCTATAAGGATATCCTGAATGGCGGAGGAAGGGGAGGAAGAAAGAAGGTTGTCTGCCCAAGGCGTACCACACTAACATAAAATTTCAAGGCTTATAGGCAGATGAGACCACAGAGTCATTTTTCTGCGTTGGAGCTTTGAGGTTACGTAGACTTGGGTCCTTACCTGGCACTTACTAGGCTTCACATCACTGAGTTTCAATCTTCTCATCTGAACATGGGGTAATAATCCTTATTTGAAGCTCTTGTGAGGATAGGTAGCTAACATGTGTTGCCTAAAACAGTTTCTGACCCTTACTAGGAACTAATAAATACTATCCATTACACCTCTGAGTTCCCTTCTTGGGGTCAACTCTAGTCAAGTGGCAGGAGAGAGGAGAGAGGGGAGAGAGAGAAGGTGGGGGGGAGAGAGAGAGAGATAGATAGAGAGAGAGAGAGAGAGAGAGTTGCGGGGGGAATGAATGGTTACTCCCAAGCAATGCAATCACACCCTTGGGGTCCATGATGGATTCTCATTTATAAATATGTGGACCATCTTTTTTCTTTCTCCCTCCTCCACTCCCTCCCTCTCTCCCCAGGAAACGGGTACCAAAAATAACACAAGTCATTGGATAGATTCCACCACCTTCTTTGCAACCAGGACAGATCCTGAAGAAGAGAAATGGTCCACACCTCAGCCTGGGATGGGGCTCAGGAGAAACAGCACATGGGCCTGGGAAGAGACCAGCATTTCAGCCTATACCACGCCTCTTGCAAAGGCCAACAGGACCACTCTCTACACTCAGAACCCACAAGACCAGTGCTGGGAGACATACGTCGGTCAGGTGGTTCCCTTTACCCTTACAAAGCTCCTTCACCTCCATCTCATCATCTAACCCCAGCAACTCTCTGAGCTGTCACTGCCTCTATTTTACAGAAAAAGAAAAGTTCAGTGAGGTTTATGATTTTCTAAGTCTCAAAATTAAAAGAGAAGAATAATCAGTGCGAAGATTCAGGCAGTATTTACCACATGTTGGGGCCTGTTCTAAATGCTTGGTTCTTTTGAGTCCTGTGATTATCACCCTCATAGGCACAGATGAGGAAACTGAGGCACAAGTGGTCAAGTTCTTGCCCAAGGACACAGACAGTAAAGAGCAGAATGCTGAACCCAGGCATCTGCTCCAAAATCTGTACCCTTAACCATGTTGTACAGAGAATCTCAACCCCAAGGTATTATCCCATGGAAATGAGTCACTGTCCACAAGTCTCCTGCAGCTCAGAACCACAGATCTTAGATTCTTTCCTAGCTTCATGAGATACTGGCCTCAGATATCAAACTTCAAAATCAAATCACCTAATATTTATAGAGCACCCTTTATTTGCCAGAAGCCCATCCCTCTGCCCACTGTACCTTATAAAGATGAGAAATGAAGATGCCATTGGAGGGGCCCACTGGCTGGGGCCCAAAGCAATGAACAGAGATTAGGAGGACCTGAAGGAAGAATGGCCGTGGGAGGGGTGGGCGTGGTGGCATCCAGGGACACCCTGTGTTTCAGGAGATGCTGAAGCTCTCCATCATTGACATGCTCTTCACCGTGGCGAGCATTCTGCTCATAGACTTCTTCCGAGGACTTTTCGTCCGGTATCTAAGTGACTGCTGGTGTTGGGATCTGGAAAGCAAGTTTGTAAGTAAAATGCTGTGTCTGTTGGGAAAGCTTATATGGCCAAATCCATCCTTTCTCAGGCCGAGGCTGGGAAACAGTCCAGCATAGCTGAGGGGGACACTTGGGGCGAGAATACAGGTGGGAAGAGGAGACGGGTACAGAAAGCTAAGCTTCTACTTCCTTTTTTTTTTCCTTTTCTTTTATTGCATTTTAGGTTTTGGGGTACATGTGAAGAACATGCAAGACTGTTGCATAGGTACACACGTGGCAGTGTGATTTGCTGCCTTCCTCCCCATCACCTCTATCTGGCATTTCTCCCCATGCTATCTCTTCCCAACTCCCCACCCCTCGCTGTCCCTCCCCTATTTCCCCCCAACAGACCCCAGTGTGTGATGCTCCCTTCCCTGTGTCCATGTGTTCTCATTGTTCGACACCCGCCTATGAGTGAGAACATGTGGTGTTTGATTTTCTGCTCCTGTGTCAGTTTGCTGAGAATGATGGCTTCCAGGTTCCTTGTTTTTTTTTTTTTTTTAGAGATGGGGTCTTGCTCTGCTACCCAGTCTGGAGTGTGGTGGTACTGCAGCCTCAAACTCCTGGGCTCAAGCAGACCTCCTGCCTTGGCTTCTCGAGTAGCTCAGACGGACTATAGGCACATGCCACCATATCCAGCTAGTTTTAGATTTTTTTTGTAGAGAGGTGGGTCTCACTATGTTGCCCAGGCTGGTGTCAAACTCCTGACTTCTAGCGTTCCTCCAGCCTCACCCCCGCAGAGTGCTGGGATTGCAGGCATAAGCTACCACACCCAGCCTCACCTGCTTCTTAACATTTACCATTTGCTGGGATGGCCCCACAAGCACTGATCTCTAAGTGCTCATAAGAGCCAAGAAGTCTATCTATGTGACTGTAATGAATCGGTTCATGCAAAGAACTTTGGAACTTGTTTAATGCACACGTTTATTTTCTCTTGTAGCCTGAATATGGAGAATTCAAAATAGCTGAGAATGTGTTACATTTAGTCTATAACCAAGGAATGATTTGGTAGGTATCAAAGTTTCTTCTTGCCTTTCCTTACATCTCATCTGGGCTATGATTTTCATTTACTTAGTCTGGATGGGACGCGACCATAATAAACACAGTTATAAGCATTAAGAAAGGGTGTTTCCAAGAGAACTATTTCACATGTATGTTAAATTTATTAGTGGTTTTCTAAGAATTTTACGGGAAGAAATTAAAAAGAAAATATTCCATGTTTAAGCTACTATTGGTCACAGCCAAAAAAAAAAAAAAAAAAAAATCTGCACAGAAACCAGCAGAATACATGTGTAAGGAGGATCGAGGGATGGCTGGGAGGAGAGGCTGCTTCTCCTTAGTGAGGACTTCAGGAGTGGCTGCTGGGGACCTTGACCAATCTGCCCTCGCTTGCCACCCTCCCTCCATGTTCCTTCTAATTTTCACTTAGACACAGGGCCCACGAGCACAGCCATCCCCCAGACTGCAGACCCCTGCCTGGGGAGGCGGAAAGCTGGGAAGTCTGGTTACCCACGGCACCTCCCAGGCCATGGCAATTCTGCACCCGGAGACACTGAGGAGCTGGAGGGGTCCTACCATCCCACCCACACATCGGCGTGTGTCTCCTTAAATGACACCACTATCTCTGGTTTCATCTGTTGGATCAGAAATAATGTGATTTGTTAAAATACAAGCAACATGTCTTTGATTTCCCCATATCAGCCCTTCTTGTCTATCAATTGGATATTTACCTCTCCTTTCACGATTGCAGAAGAGTAAACACACTGAAATGTGTGACGGTGCTTAGTGCCATAACCAGCAAAAGTCGGTGCTCAGCATATGTTGATTAAACATGAAAGTCAGTAATTTATTAATACAGTCCTCATCATCCGCAAGAAAAACCAGGAGCTAGCCCCAAACAGTAGTCATCATTATTTGTCTCCTTCCCAAAGGAGGATTTTCCTTTGCTAAAGTGTGAAAAGAAAGACAAACACTTAGTTATCCTTTGCAAAGAGAATATTTTAAAATGTGATCAATATCCTTCAGGTCATGTTCAGTGACTTGTTTTATCTTTAGAAGGTAGCTAAAGATAAAATGCCCTGGGACTTCAGGGGCATTTCCAGTTCTTTAAGCATAGGGTGTAAACCCCAGTCTCAGAACCAGGTTCCTGCATGGGGCTTCCATAGTCCTGGAAGACAGGCTGGGAGAGAACAGATGCACACTGACCTTCCTCATGCTTCCAGGATGGGGGCCTTCTTCTCCCCATGTCTCCCAGCATTCAACGTTCTCAAACTCATTGGGCTCATGTACCTGAGGAGCTGGGCTGTGCTGACCTGCAATGTGCCCCACCAGCAAGTATTTCGAGCCTCCAGGTGGGTAAGAGTAAGATCCGATCATGCAGATAACTAAGTCATCCACACCTGCCTTACCCAGGGGTCCTCCAGCAAGGGGTTCCCCCAACTCTCTTCCTGTCAAAATCCTGCCTGTCCACCAATTTTATCTCCTCCATGAGCCATTTCCAATGCCTTACTCTTTCAATGAATCGTTACTCCTCTTTGATTCATGACACAGTTTTTAAAAACTTGTTGCTGAAGTTTAAGAATCCTTTGAGAAAAAGTGCACAAATCATAAATGTTTAGCTTGATGAGTTTTCACAAACTGAACACAAGGAACTCAGATCAAAAAACAAAACACAAGTGGCACCCAGAGCACACCCACTTGCAGGGGATTCCAATCACTGCCAACTTCTAATGACATCATTAGGCTTGCCTGCCTTTTACTTGGTATAAACATAATCACACATGGTATGCGCTCTTTTGTGCCCAGCTGCTTCCACTCAACACTGTGTTTGTGAGATTCACCTTACTGAGGAAATACGGTAGAGACATCAATGTCTTTATCCTGGCTACTACTGACGGGCATCTAAGCTGCTTCCAGCTGTTAGCCTCATGAGTAATGCTGCCTTGAACATCCTTCACAGGGCATGCGTATGTTCACCCTTATGAAACAGTGTCAAAAAGTTTTCTAAAATGATCACCCCATTTTACATGTCTGACAGCATTATTTCCCAACACTTACTCTTTTATCTGTTTTAATTTTAGCCATTTGGTGAATTCATAACACATTCTAAATACTTTGCTGATTCAGTTATTTTACTTTGACATAAATGGTTATGTGTGTTTGTATCAGTGGCTTTCAAACTTTTTGCTGATGACCTACTTGACAATGCATTCACTTTTTTTTTTTTAAGATGGAGTCTCACTCTGTCGCCAGGCTGGAGTGCAGTGGTGCAATCTCAGCTCACTGCAATCTCTAACTCCCTGGTTCAAGCGATCCTCCTGTCTCAGTCTCCTGAGTAGTTGGGATTACAGGCATGTGCCACCACACCCAGCCAATTTTTGTATTTTTAGTAGAGACGGGGTTTCACCATGTTGGCCAGGATGGTCTTGATCTCCTGACCTTGCGATCTGCCCTCCTCGGCTTCCCAAAGGGCTAGGATTAGAGGCATGAGCTACCATTCCCAGCCTGCATTCACATTTTAGCTGGTAACTAGCACACATATATGCATATATTCAGAGACACATGTTTTGATATATTTATATATGTTGTATTTATGTGTATATATACATATTATATGTGTGCATGTGTGTCTGTGGATAGAGAAAGAGGTTTCACAGCTTATCACTTTCTTACTACATTCTGTGCTCTCTGAAATTTTCTATTCTTTTCTAGTGAAGTCTTTTTTATTAGAGAGAGAGAGAGACAGAGACAGAGACAGAGAGAGAGAGAGAGCAGAGAGAGAGACCAACAGAGAGTACTAGTTGAAAGTAACGACACTGATTGACCCCAATTCTCTTTTCTGAACTGTGTATGGGGCCTTGCACACCGAACAGGTTTAAGCCCCCCTCAGAGGAGCCCTGGGCAGCCAAGCTCCCTGACACCAACTTAGGGCTCAGGGACAGGAACCAGGGCTTAATCAGGCAGCACACATACCCTGTGCCACCACATGCAGAGCAGATAAAAGGCTGAGTGCAAATCACACCCAAGTGAGAGAATCAGGAATCATAAACAAAAGAGCTAAACCATCCTGAGATGTAAGAGCCAAGTTCAAGGCTGGGAACAGGAGAGGGAACCATCAGGTAAGGACCCAGATGGGTGAGCAATGCTTCTAAGGTTTTTCCATAAATTGCGTTTACTGTGTGGAACTCCTGGGTGCCAGGGTAGTTCACCACTCTCATGGTTTGAGCTAAACAGGTGCTCAGCAAATGTTTATTAGACAAACTGGTTGGGCGGGAGATCTCTGAAGTTCCTCTGAACATTGATTTCTAGGTTCCTAGGCTGCAGGTGACCGTACAACAGATCCATTGGTAGGTAGCCCTGAGAGGAGGATTTTTTAGTTTGCAAAGAGTCAGGGCAACCATTTCTGCAGCAGCTCTTTGGGCATATGCAACCCTGGCAGCTGGCTATGGAGTGTACTTAACACACGGCATTTGATTTCTCTGCAGATCCAACAATTTCTACTTGGCAATGCTCCTGTTTATGCTGTTTCTGTGCATGCTGCCAACCATTTTTGCTATTGTCCGATATAAGCCATCTCTAAACTGTGGGCCATTCAGGTAAATTATTTTCTTTCCTGGCTCTGTCCAGAGCGACTGAATGCTGTAGGGGAATAAATTGTATTGAACTGAATTCTCCTCCCAGCTCGCAGAGCAGGTAAACAGGATAGAAAGATTGCAAACCTGCATGTTTTAAGTTCAAGACCAGTGCTCTTTCCTTAACACCAGGCTGCCCTTAGTATAACCATCTCTGTGCTCATGTTAAAAAATACAACCCTTTTAAAGTGAGAAGAGACATTCTCTCTGGTCAAAACAGAAAAGCTTTTATTAAAACACAGTGCACAGCACTTTTTTTTCCTATATTATCCAGCTGTTTCCCAGCAAAACCCTCTAGTATCTTCATCTAGCATTCGAGTCACCGTTGGCACAACATGTATGTAACATTTAGCCTATCTTAGTGCACACTATTACAACACACACTTCCATGCAATGTGATTAATGACCCCATCTTCCATCCTCTGTATTAATGAGCTATGAAATCATTTGAGGAATGCTATGAAGTGGCCTCTAGGCATCCAGCCATTTTTTGATGTCTTGTAGCATCTTTCTGCCAAGAGCAATAAAATCTGGAGTTACGCTTTTCTTTCTCACAGTGGACAAGAGAAAATTTATGACATTGTGTCAGAAACGATTGAGAAGGACTTTCCAGCATGGTTTGGCTCCGTGATGGAGCACGTCAGTAGCCCCGTGGTCATCCTGCCTGCAGTACTCCTGCTTTTGTGAGTACCACACCTGCCAGCTTTGGAGGGACTTCTGGGTGTTTGGCCAACAAGGGAACACTGCTTTGCAATAATTTCATAAAATGTATTAGTTCGTTCAAAAATCACTTGGGCTTGGAGCCTGATGATCAAACAGAGGCTCTGAGTCACACACCAGAGTCACATGAGGCACTGTGCCGTGGACACACAGCCGCTGGGTCTCAGCGAGGGGCGGGGAGGGAGCTCTCCATCGCCATTGAGGTGGTTACGGATCCAACAGCATTCGGTCAATTACTGTGATCACTAGAAAGGGGCTGAATGCCATTATTATCATCATCTCATTCTCCAAAAATTTAAATAATCCTGAAAAGGAATTTCACAACTCAGCTAAGTATCTTTGGCTTGTTTTGGTTTAAAGGAAAAAAAGTAAAAGTGGGTGGGTCCTATCCTCATAGCTTGATAGAGAGCAAAATTTCTCCGCCATTTTCATGTCTTCCTTATTGCTCTCACCAGTGTAGAATTCCAGGTCAATGATGGTGTTGTGGAAAGCCAGGAAAAGAAAACAAAAGCAGCCCCTTTCCAGGGCTCACTGGCTTGAGAATTTGCTGATATATTTTGTCCTTAGCGGAGGGTCAGCGGGTAGCCCGCACCTGGCCTGGGAGCCTCTTATTCCTGCCAACTCCCTGCAGGGAATGTGGTCTGAAAGGTGGAAAAGCCAGTTGCAGTCCACTCACTCTCCTGTGTTGTTCTGTCCTAGCATGCTCATCTATTATCTCCAGAGCATCGCACGTTCTCTAAAGCTCAGCAACCACCAGCTCAAAATGCAGATCCAAAACGCAAGTATTCCACGACCTTTGCTATTATGAATGTGTGTCAACCACATGACTGAGATCTCGCCAGCATGGCGATACAAGTGAGGTCACATCTTCAAGGTTCTATGACTCTTGGCCACCCCCTAGTGCAAGGTCACCAATCCCCAGATGTCTAAGGGTGATTTCTAAGAATACCCAAGGATGGATCACCTTTGCTAGGAAGAAGCCTGCTTCTGTTTTTCCTCCTCCTCAAGGGGCTTTGCTGCTGCCTTGAGCCCTTCAGTGTCCCTCCTGTGACCACACCAAGCCCTCAGTGTGCCAGGCGCTTCTGTGAGTTCTGGCAAACTGCCAAGGGAGAGAAACGGTCCCTTCCCAATCTTTGTCAACTTGGACATCTAAGTCCAGCAGCAGTGCTGGTCCCTAAAGCCTCAGCCCTTTCATATTCTTTAGAGATGGCTGTCACTACCTTCTGTCTCTGTGGGGCTCAAACCCTATCTCCCAGAGCAGGTCCGAGGGAGACATACACTCCCGGCACTTCTGTAATTTCTCTCCTCCACATACCCCAGGTGCTCCCTTAGTGCCCTGAGTCCTCCAGATCCCCAGGAAGGGTCCCAGGACTGGGGTGAGGCCAGTGACACTCCCAAAGCACCACATTTAAGGAGGCTCTGTTAGCATCATGCTGACCCTGTCCTTTCACAACCCTGAAAATAACTGCCTCCTTAAATCTGGCACCCTAGATGCCTCACTAACCTCGCCCCTGCAAAAAAAACTCCTTTCCACTTCTATCAATTTAAAAAAAAAAAAACAAAAAAACTCCCATGAATATCAATTCATGCAAAGAAACACAAATTAGCTTCTAATTCAAAATTCATTTGGAGTTACAATGGCCATTTTTGGTGGAAAAACACATCTCCAGTGTTGTTGATCTATATTTTTTTCTTTGTGATTCAGACAAACTATTATAGGCAGAATTTAAACATGGTCTATTAGCTGTCCCTAAATAAAACTGGCTAGGCATAAAACTTCAGCTTTTAGGTATCTACAGTTATTCCTTCAAAAAACAGGCCCAAGCCCAGAGCACACTGTCCATAGGGGCAATAGCAGTCCAGTCATGGCCCAAAGTAAGAGCTAGGGCATATAAAAACATTAGCTGGGCATAGCAGTGTATGCCTGTGGTCCCAGCTGCTCAGGAGGCTGAGTCAGGAGAATTGCTTCAACCCAGGAGGAGGAGGTTACGGTGAGCTGAGATGGTGCCACTGCACTCCAGCCTGGGTGACAGAGCGAGACTCTGTCTTAAAAACAGATCTCGGACATGTAAATCTTTTTTTTCCCCAGGAATATTTGTTACTGCTTCCTGCTAAATCCAAAACAAACATGCATGTCATTTGTATTTTAGGCAAGATCAGAGGATAAGAAAAAGGTTGCCCAGATGGTAGAAGGTAAGTATTTTTTTTTTTAAATGGAGAGATCTGATGTCTCAGTTAGTGGGCATTTAAAAATACAGCCATTTAAGATAGTTTGTGGCATACTACCAATAAAAATTCCTGATAACCTGTGGTTTTTCCCAAGTAACTAGGCACGATAAAATAAAATATAGGGATATAAATGTTGCTTTAAATCTTCAATTTTTATATCATATCCAGGCCCATTAATAAATTCCAAAACGTGTAAAATCAGAAGGAAGTGTTGAAGTAGGAGAGGAAAAGCAGAACATTCATGTGGATGGAAGCCCAAAGAATCTCTTTGCCTGGTTCACTTTTGTGTGCTGCTTCTCCGTGGCCCATCTCTCGCTTGCAATGTTCCCTCCTAGGTCCCTTCCCTGGGGTCTGGCCTCCTTAGGTTCTGTCCTGTCCCTGTGCTGTGAGCCAGAGGGCTCACTGGGCACCATTTAAAATGGCACAGCCTACAGGAATGAGATTGGGACCCAAAAGGGCTCTGGGGGCCAGCTCTCACAGCTGTTGTAATACTTCACTAATTGGAATGGACCCATTCCTCTCCAGAAAAATACCTGAGCAAGAGCCCTAAGGCCTAAGGATTATGCTTGCTTGCTCCACCAGCTTTTCAGAGAGAGGCCTATAATTGATAATCATTACTTCAGTAGTTGTGGCTCATGCCATAAAGCGCCTCTGTAATTGTCATCGCTTATTTGCCCATTAGGCAGAATTAAACTCAGTTCAGGTCACCTTCAAAAGCCAGAACCGGCATAGACTGTCTCAGAATAACAATAGCATTGCCCAATGTTCATTTGCCAGCTCAAGACCACATCTTTTTTCAAAAGGCACGTGAACCATTTCCAAAGAATCATAATTGTGTATAAGCTTTATTACCTTCATTGAGTAGACAAGGAACTGGAGGCCCAAAGCTGCTAAGTACTTGCTTTGCCTCATGGGAAATCAGATGGCGCCCTGTAAAGACATGTGTTCACTTGATTCCTCCTACACGCCCAGCTCCAACTTTCAGGGATGAAATCATTTGAAGTACAGAATACTCGTTGCCCACTCGTGAGCTGTATTTGTACATGCACTCAATTGTTTGCAGACCAACTCTTGGAAGTCATAAAACTCTTGCAACTCAACCCGCCTGAAGGTGTCACCTGCTCAGTGACACTTGTCTTCTCACAAGTCCTCCCTCTCCCTGCAGCCCGGATCCAGACCCAGGAAGAAAGCACCAAGAAACTTCCAAACGACAGTGATCTTACCAGCCAACTGTCCTCAGCACACTCGGGCACACCCCAGAATAATGGCAACATGGTCCATTTCGACTCAGAAAGCAGCAAGAGTGGCAGGATAGAGACAGTTGCGCGGTCCATGCCCCAGAGCCCCAGGTCAGGGAACAGGGCTCCCGGCTCACCTCTCCCTGGGTTCTCCAGACCCAGGCTAGAGCATGAAACTAACAGGTGAGGCTGCACTGCAACACAGAAGAAACCCTAGAATGTGAGAGGTGTGAAGGCCTCAACAGCTTCAGGAGGCCAACGCCATGAAATTCTAATTCTTCCAAAAGGCATGGGGTCAGGAGACTGTGACAGCTGGTACTGAGAAGAAATGGAGGTGGGGTGTCAGTTTGTCTAACATGACAAATTCTTCCTCCTAGGCTATTTGCCATTTAACCTGTAAGCAAACCTTCCAGCCACCCTAGGACAAACATTTTTCACTGGCCACATTATTCGCAAAATCTTGCATGTTTTAGCTGTAGTCTGGTCAAGTTATTGGCAAGACCATTATGTACTACATGGGGTCAAAGAAAGCAGTAGATCCCTGTTTACTTTAATGGAGGTAGGACCCCTGGAAAGATGAAGGGAATAGACTTGTACTGGCCCAAATTCATATGGAAAATTTTATTTGATCTGAATGTAGTACAGTGAAAGCAATGTAGATAAAATACAGGGGCTCTCATGTTTTTAAGCTAATGACTAAGTTAGCAAAGGACTTGAAGTCTTGTTATATGAGGAGTTGTCTGCATGTCTCTGTGGGGTCTTGACAGGGAGGGAGGATCCAAACACTCCTTGGGAGGCCACTGTGGGGGTCAAACCAGAGCCACCATACAGATTCAAGTCTTTATCAGGAAGAACTTTTTTTTTTTTCTAAGACAGAGTTTCGCTCTTGTTGCCCAGGGCTGGAGTACAATGGTGTGATCTCCGCTCACTGCAACCTCCACCTCCAGGTTCAATTAATTCTCCTGCCTCAGCCTCGCAAGTAGCTGGGATTACAGGCACCCGCTGTATTTTTAGTAGACACGGGTTTTCACTATGTTGACCAGGCTGGTCTTGAACTCCTGACCTCAGGTGATCCACCTGACTTGGCCTCCCAAAGTGCTGGGATTACAAGCTTGAGCCACTGCACCTGGCCAGGGAACAACGGTTTAATATGTATAACTCCTCTCTACCCACCAGTGGAAACTCAGAGAAGTGCTCCAGAAGCCAGCTGTTTAGCAGAGAGGAGGAGAAACTATGTTCCTAACTTGTGCTTCACCGACGCTAGTCCCACCCCATGCCCCCGAACACAAAGAAGACTCCGTGATGAAATACACTAACACAGCATCTCTCACTCTGCACTCTCCATGGAGACTCATGATGCACATCACTGATTTAGGGTTCTGAAAATTCCAGCAGTAAAGCACACTGGTTGGCTCAGTCCCCCCAAATGACTCTGCGCACACAATCCACAGAATACCCATTAATCACTTGGAACCAGGCTCAGTGAAAATGCTCAGGGAACCACTCACAGCTCACAGTGGTCAGGTGTGGGGCTCTGAGACCACCAAGACCACAGCCACTTAACTGCCTCTGTTTTACAGGTATCCACATGGTCTGTGTGCGAGCACCAGCGATCTTCACAAGAACAGATCGCGCATACCGACGACGTTTACAAAGCACATCGAAGACGTGCACTCAAAACCTCTCTTCCGAAAAGACTTTCAGCAAATCAACCCTCCTCACCGTGGACCAGGGGCTTCGACTTCGGTGGCACAGGGTCCCAGGCCCCACGCCCCCAGATACTATGTCATTAACGAACGTGACTCTTACAAGAGAAAACATCCAAATGTCTGGCCAGAAAGACATTTCAAGATAGATGCTTCAGGTGACATTGTGGAGCTGTACCCCAGGAACATGCGGCAATATGCATCCCGGGTTCCCCGCCAGCCTCGCTCCCCACAGCTGAGTGAAGAGGAGGAGACGCCGAGGAGGGACTGGATCAAACAGTCTCTTCCCCAACGCTCCCTGACGGACCTCCGTGGGGCTCCTCATTTTTATACTGGGGAGAGGTCCGAAAGTCAGACCCTGGCTCCCGAGCACCAGGGGAGGGTGCACTACAAGCCGTGGAAAGACGATTTTGAGGGTCACCTTGACAGGCCCGCCTATGTGCCCAAAAAGCCACGCTGGCGGAATTTCCAATACCCACAGCCCCCTCTGAAGCCCAGAGGGAAGCTCAGGTTCGAGCCATCCCTCACGGAATCGGACTCCGTGTCGGCGGCATCCAGCAGTGACCAGCAGAACAGCGGCGCTGACCAGTACCTGCAGGTCACCCACAGCCAGCGCAGGTTCCCGAGGCCGGGGGGCCAGGCCGGGCGGAGGAAGGCCACGTCGAGGCAGGAGCTGACCATGGATCTGGACGACTTGATTTGTTCAAACGTCTAAGCTGCCTCCAGGGTCCACTTCCCAGAGGTCAGGCCCCTGTTGGGCGTGCTGGGCCAGCACGTGGCATCTCCCGTTCTGGAAAAAGAGGTGAACACGTGTTAGAGACCCGAGGGGCCCGGCCGCGGCTGCTGGCTGAGGTCCTGAGGCTGACGGCTGCAGCCACCTAGTCCACGGCTACTGTCAGCGCAATCCATGCGAGTTAGGCGGCACCAAAGTGTGTCACCAGCAGTGAATCATCATGGGTCTGCAGCTACCTCAGTCCTTGCCTCCTCGGAAGAAAGAATTCGGCAGAGGAGCACAAGACAGAGGACAAGACGGGAGAGACTGAGGCACGTTTTAGGGCAGGCATGCAAGTTTACTGAAAAGCTCCAGAGCAGGAATGAAAGAACTACATACACTTGGGAGAGGGCCAAGCGGGCGACTTGAAAGATGGAGTGCACTGTTTGACCTTTGACTTGGGGTCACGCTGGCTTTGCTTCCGGGGTCCTGTGCTACATCTCCCCTGATTCTTCCCTTGGGGTGGGCTGTCCGCATGCGCGGTAGTGGCCTGCCAGCGCCTGGGAGGGGAGCATGCGCAGTGTGCTTAGCGGAGTTGTGCACACGCTCACTTGAGGTTCTTCCCTTACCGGTGGAAGGCGCCGTATTGTCTTTTAGTACGCATGCTTGAACCCACTGCTCAGCTCCTGAGATCTTACCAGGAAGCTGCTGATTACCAGTTTCAGGTTTTTTCTATCTATTGGGAGACGGTCGTGCTCTGGTGCCAGCTGTGACCAATTATTATTTTAGCGAGACAATTAACAGCCACCTGACCATCACCTGATGTTCGCCTGACATTCCTGGGGGTTGTCTCCTCACGTCTGACTGGCTACCCATTGTAACACCTTCACACATGAGCAGATCGTTTCCGTGGGGAATCCTTGCATCCAGAAGCACATCAGGCCATTTCAATGAAACTCAGTGCTTTGCCTCCTTTTGGGTTGACCACAAATCATAGGCAAGCCAGAGATCTCATCCTGCCTCCTGAAGCCTCACCTGAGCTATTTGAATGAGCTGCGTGAACTGTTCTCCTTCAACAGACAAAAGTCATCTTCTCTAATAAGCACCACTCTAATTAGATGCCACCCTTAAAGATATTACAATGCTTAGTTTGTAGGAATAACCAGTTCAGTAAAGACAAGAGTAACTACATTTATTGAGAACTTACTTTACTCTGCTTACTGGGCAGTATGCCTGTATTAATGAGTCAGGACACTGAGATTGGAAGTAACGCATGATTTATCCGTAAGGTTTACTGGTTTGCTTAACTGGGAAAAATGAGAATCAAGTCAGCCTCAGGCCCAGCTGGAGCCAAGGCATTAGTGCACCCCCAGGAATCTCTTTTCACCTCTCTGCTCTATTTCTATGATTAGGTCTTGAATTTAAACAAGTTTAAAAGACACAGAGCAATGCAAAGTTCACTACTGTGACAAGCGTCATTCCTACTGTGAGGGTCAACAACCGTCAAGATTGAAATTTTATTTCCATTTAGTCATTTTGTTATCATTAATAACAGAAAGTATTAGATACGGTCAAAGCCCACTCTAATCCCCACACAAAGTCTCATTCCCGTCACACTAGCAAGAGTTTGGAGTACATCCATTGATCAGTCATTTATAGTTTTATGTATTCGGTGTGTAAGTATATACGTACAAGCATCCGTAAACAGTATGTAAGCACATCTTAAGTAAACACTATCATACTGCACGTATTATTGCACATATTTATGTTTTTTAGCTCTAACAAAAAAATACAGATCAAACCCATTTATAACTGTGGCACAGTATTTCATTATATGAATAAACTACATATTGATCTTTTTTTTTTGCTGATGGACATTGAAATCATTTCCACTTCTTTGCTGCTGAAAATTGCATTAAACATCTCTTATATGTCTGTCTTCATGTATCTTATATGTCTAAAAGTTGCACTAAACATCTCTTATATGTCTGTCTTCATGTATCTTCTTGGCACACACATGTACCATTGTTTGCTTAGAAGTGAGTATCGGTCCTCCTAAACGAGAAATCCATAGCTCATCAGAGATGAGCATGTTTGTTTTCACTAGCGGCTCCTTTATTAATCCTCATGAATCCAAACATCTGTGCACACTTCCTCCAGATCATGATGGGGCTATTTCCTTATAGCCTTACCAATGCCTTATAGTGTCACACTATATCATTTTTGCCAATCTGATGAAAAAATTATACCCGCTTATTTTAATTAACCTGCATTTGTGATTGTTAGCCTCTCTCCCTAAGCCAACTGGTCATTTGCATTTCCTCTTCTGTGAACCGATTGCCTAGTCAACACCTTTGCTCATTTTTCTATAGACATCAACAACCATGGCTGTGAAAAGGAGCTCATAAAGCTCCTGACAAAAGCCCCACATGCTAATCAGTTATCCCTTTCCCTTCCCTGAACTCTGGCTGTTGTCTAAGTTGCAGTAACAGAAAGCTACAAGCCTACTCTGTGAAAATGCCTTTGCATAGCTGTGGTTTCACAACACTGCTTTGTATTTTAGTAACAGTCCACGGGGGTGTACATTTCTGCCTTTGGTCAAACTATTATTGAGGACATGATCCACAGCATTATTAAAGTCTCTCTTAACAACACCTACATAACAAACTCTCAAGTCTCAGAGATCAGACTGTTGTGTCCATAAAAGAGTGAATTCCTTCTGAGAAGAGTAGCTCGGGAGATATCTTAGTAACCTCAGGATGCTTCCTTTAGTCACTCCTTTTGTCTCAGAATTCATGAGTGTCAGGAAATTTAGAGTAAAGTTTTCTGCACATCTCTAAAAGACTAACTTCCTTAGTGGCGCGATCTCCGCTCACTGCAATCTCCACCTCCTGGGTTCAGGCAATTCTCCTGCCTCAGCCTCCCGAGTAGCTGGGATGACAGGCACGCACCACCATGCCCAGCTAATATTTTGTATTTTTAGTAGAGACGGGGTTTCACCATGTTGGCCAGGATGGTCTCGATCTCTTGACCTCGTGATCCACCCGCCTCGGCCTGGGATTGCAGGCGTGAGCCACCGCGCCCGGCCGAGTCTCCGCTTCTTAAACAAACAGTGGACCTCGTCCGCGACCTGGCCGGGCCCGACGGGTGTCAGCCGTAGTCCCGGCGCTCCAGAGCCCCTCCCACAGCGGGCACGGACCAGGCGGATACAGCCCGACCTTCCCACGCGCGCCCACGGCGTCCGAGACCCGCCCGCCGCGTCGAGACCCGCCCACCGCGTCGAGACCCGCCCACGGGGTCCGAGACCCGCCCACCGCGTCGAGACCCACCCACCGCGTCGAGACCCGCCCGCCGCGCCCGAGACCCGCCCGCCGCGCCCGAGACCCGCCCGCCGCGTCCGAGACCCGCCCGCCGCGCCCGAGACCCGCCCACCGCGTCCGAGACCCGCCCACCGCGTCCGAGACCCGCCCGCCGCGCTCGAGACCCGCCCGCCGCGTCCGAGACCCGCCCACCGCGTCCGAGACCCGCCCTGGCGCTGACGCAAACCCGAGAGCCGGGCCCGGCAGTCTCCGGTGCTGCCAATGTCAGGGAGGGGCGGGATCCGTCGGAGGGCCTGGACCAATTCGGGAGCGGGGGCGGGGCGGGAGGCGGGACTCCAAGCCTCTCTGGGAGCTCGAGCTTCCAGGCTCCCCGCGTCCCGCGCGGCCGCTCCTTACAACCGCGACCCCGCGGCCAGACGCCGCTCTCGGCGCCATGGACCCGGCGCTGGCGGCCGAGATGAGCGAGGCTGTGGCCGAGAAGATGCTCCACTACCGGCGAGACACAGCAGGCTGGAAGATTTGCCGGGAAGGCGTGAGTGAGGAGCTGGGCGGGAAGGGGTCGCGGAGACTGCTTCGTGGGGCCCGGGTCCCCAGGGGCCCCCAACCTCCTCTTCTCCCCGCTGTTTTCTGCACCCCAATCCCCTGAACCCGATTGAAAGGGATTCCAATGGGAATTGGTTCTTTTTTTGGAAAACAAAAAAAAAAAGATTGGGCCTGTTAGGCTCACAATGACTTCAGGTGTTAAGTATCTGTGCCTTTGACTCGGGCCTGCCCAAGGTTAAAGCTGGCTGATGAATGGTGTTCAGGGCTGGAACCCGGAACACCTGCCTCTAAAGCCTTGACTCTCTTCGTTACGGCACGAGCCCCTCTCTCTGTCCACGCCAGAGCACGGGGGTGGTTTTGCTTACTTGACGCTTCTGACTTTTAACGAGTAGCCCCGGGTTGCTCGAGGAAACAAAATGCATGGTGGCTTTTAAGAGAATTTGAAAACCACCCACAGCTCTTGGAATCAGCCAGTTAAGATCTTTTTCTTCATTACGTTCTGCTGTGGGGACAGCCTTGCCTGGGATTAGTCCCAGCCTTTCCACGTGTGGGTTGCGCAGCCTTGGAGACCTGAATCTCTTGAGGCCTCTGAGCCCTCTTCTGTAGAACAGGGGACTAAGCCAGGTGACCAGAGCCCTTCCAGCTCTAAAATTCTATGGTTCTGTGCCTTTTGACAGAATGGAGTTTCAGTTTCCTGGAGGCCATCTGTGGAGTTTCCAGGGAACCTGTAAGTGCATGCCTCGTTCAAAGCTTACCAGAGATGCCGCAACCTTCCTGGTATCTTTATGGGTTTGCCTCCTAAAATATTCAAATCAGCCCTTCAACCCTGTGATCAATTGTCCTCCAGAAGTCTTACTGTTTTTAATGAAATCACTTCCAGCAAAGCGGATTCTTGTGAAAATTTAATGTCCATTTCTGAAGGCCCGAAGGGAGGTGGGGCTAATAAGTTTCAGTCCCTTCCCTGCAAGCCTGTCCTAAAGAGCAGTGACAGACTTCTAGTGCTTACATACAATCCCAAGATAAACAAGTTTATTGATGCTTTGGGGTGTAATTCCTTTTTGTGCTCCAGGTACCGAGGAGAAGGCATTGTATTTGGGACACCAGAGGCGGTGTGGGACTGTGTGAAGCCGGCTGTTGGGGGCCTGCGAGTGAAGTGGGATGAGAATGTGAACGGTTTTGAAATTATCGAAAGCATCACTGATGTAAGTCTTTCCAAGCAAGTTATCTCTAGATAGTGTCTGGGCCTTGCTACAATAACCTCCTCCCATTTCTTCTGGAAGGGTCCATGGTACAATAACCTCCTCCCGTTTCTTCTGGAAGGGTCCATGATACAATAACCTCCTCCCGTTTCTTCTGGAAGGGTCCATGATACAATAACCTCCTCCCGTTTCTTCTGGAAGGGTCCATGATACAATAACCTCCTCCCGTTTCTTCTGGAAGGGTCCATGATACAATAACCTCCCGTTTCTTCTGGAAGGGGTCCATGATACCTTTTGGCGAGGAGGTATGTGCCGCAAACACAGGCTGCCTGCCCACTGCTTGCAGCACTGGAGACCTGCCTCAGCCCAGGTGTAGGTGGGATACCTCATGACTCAGAGAGGCAGAGAAGCCGTAAACAGAGCCAAAATGAGAAATCAGCAGCAGGGAATGAAGGTGGCTCGAGTGCACATGGGCTCTGAGGGTACTGAGGGGGTGCCTGGACTCAGCCTGTCAGCTCTTGTTTGAAATGCTGCCCCTTGATGGTGACATAAGAATGAATTGAGAGAGCCCTGGTGGAGGAGTCAGGATTCTTTACCAGCTGGGGGTTGTTTTAGGTGGCAGTTTCTGGATTACAGTTTCTTCGCTGGCAAAATGTGTGTCAGCTGGACTAGCCCTGTCCAGAACTTTCTGATGGTGGCCACAGAGCATTTGAAGGTGGCTAGTTTAAGGACATGAATTGTTTTATTTAATTTTAATTAGACTAAATGTAGATTTAAATAGCCACGTGGAGCTACTAATACAGCTATTGTATTAGGCAGTATGGATTTTAATGAGCCTGCCCTGGTCCTCTGTAGCTTTAAGATCCCCACCTCATTTTGATTACAGAATTTCATATAAACAAAAAAAAAAAGCCAAAACTAATGAGAAAGTTGCCTTGGGGAAAAGTTGCTGACCTGTTCAGTTTGAATGGTGTCTTGATTTTGACATCTGTGGACTAGCACCCTTTGGGGTGTTTCCAGAGATGGTGTTGTGAAATCCCATGCAACTGACTAATCCAAATCTGAATCTGTAAGAACCAGGTGTTCTTACCCTTGACCAAGAATTCACATTTCAGTTCATTCCCAGTTGATTATCCCAGGAGTTTATGTCACTGTTTCCTGAAGGATGAGTCACCTATCTGCGGGGTATCAAAGGTGAGTTTAGGTCCTTAATGGCCAAAGCTGACATTGAATCACTTAGTGAGGAGACTTCCATGTTTCAGTCCTTTAATCTCTCTGATAACTTGAAGGGGAGAGTCTCAGGTGCTGATATTTCTTTGTCACCTGATTAACACTTGCTAATCTTGTTTATATGAAATAGGCAGCTGGCCTCGGGCTCAAAATTAGAATCTAATTGTTGTGCAGGTATTTTGCAGTCGCCTTTAATTTCTGGCAAGTGATGCATTTTTTCATTTCCGTAAATAGCTTCACATAAAAACCAAGTTATCTATAAGTTGTAAAAAGTGAGCCCGTTTAGATAACAATATTAAGTGAACAACAGGATAGGCGATACTGGAGAGAGAGAAAAAAGATAGTATGCAAATAATTCTACACAAATGATCAAAGTTGAGGAAACATGGGTTAATGCCTTTAAAAATGCAGTTAACAAGACTGTATACAAAACTTTCTGCTTGAACTTAAAAATGGCTACATCTTTTTTTTTTTTTTTTTTTTTTTTTGAGAAAGAGTCTTACTCTTGTTGCCCAGGCTGGAGTGCAGTGTGTGGTCTCGGCTCACTGCAGCCTCCACCTTCTGGGTTCAAGAGATTCTCCTGTCTCAGCCTCCTGAGTAGCTGGAACTACAGGTGCCCACCACCACACCTGGCTAATTCTTTTTTTTTTGTATTTTTAGTAGAGCTGGAGTTTCCCCATGCTGGCCAGGCTGGTCTCGAACTCCTGACCTCAGGTGATCTGCCCACCTCAGCCTCCCAAAGTGCTGGGATTACAGGCGTAGCCACCTTGCTGGGCCAAATGCCTACATCTTTTTTTAGTATGTTTATACTTGTCTCGATGCAGTGGCTGGGGGGCCATGAGAGTGAATGAAAGACTAGAAAGTAACATGATACCTGAGCTATCACAGTAATGATTAAATGATAAGCACTGTAATTTACGGAGTCCTTATACTGTGTTCCAAGTTTGGAGCCCTGCACCTGAAACCCTGAAGGAAGGAAGCAGTTTGGCAGGTGAACAGCTGTACCAGATGTGCCCAGGCTCGCAAGGTAACGCGTGCCAGAGCAGGAGTTGAGAGCTGGCTGGTGACCCGCTCTCTAGACTCCCATGCTTGGAGGTGCCACCTCTGCCTTCACCCAGCTTAATTTCTGGGTCCCTGTGACCTGATCCCTCAGAGGCTCCACAAGGCAAGTGATATGGGTTCATCATTGTTACTTTGCAGCCACTCCCCATTCCCCGGGTGGGCAGGACCACAGAGAACTGGGTGCTCACCTGTGCTAAATTCTACTTTAGTGCCAGCTGCGCTTGCCTTTTTCATCAATTTGCCTGTGGGTTGGGTCAGTGAAGCTGGCAGGCTCTCCCTCCTCCTCTGGGCACCCTGATTTGTCTCTCGGGAGAGCATGCCTGTTCATTGTGTGCGGCTGCTGCACTAGACGACACAGGACCCTTAGCCCCTGGCACTTCCCTGAAGCCTGGGCCAGTAGCAGCCCCATGTACTTGCCTGACTCCAGTTAGCCTCTGGTATGAGGGTCTTCACCCTTTTCGCTTACATACTTCAACAGATTTTTGAGAAATTGTACATCATCCTCAGACATCCATTGACATTTATTAATAACATTTAGTTGACAACTAAATTTTCATAAGTTGCAAAGCGTGTCATTTTTGACATGCAGTAAATCTCAATTTTGAACAAAGCAAAACTTTTTGTAGATTTATCTAAATAATGTATACATTTTTATTTACTGTTACCCATTTTAAAAATAAGCAACATTTTTAAAATAGAAATTGTGTATAACCGTTTTCCTGGAACTCCAATTTCCATTCCATGTAGCCCTCTGAATTTCACCCTAATATAATACATGTTTATTCTTGGAAGTCATCATCTTGCATCATAAATATGCATGGAGATGGAAATTTTTTTAATTATGTATTTCCTGTAATTATGAGACTAATTATCTTTTTAAAAATCTGGATTGAGGTATGAGTGTAATTCATTTAAATAACATGATTATATTATAAATTCTGATAAATGTGAAAAGTAAAACATTTTGCATCTTTGGATAAGATGAATGGGAGCTCTTTTTTCTCATTAACTCATAAGTCCATGAAAAAATAGGAGCTTTTCAATAGACAGCTGCAAAGTAGAGGGGAAGCACAGGCTATTGGTGAGCTCAGGTTTACAAAAAAGCGGAGAATTGCCAAGTAGTAGCCCCTTATCATTTAGTGAAACAATGAAAATGTGGAGAAAGGGCTCTTCCTTAGAGATTGGTGTGTCTCAGCTTGATTTCCTCAACTCCCAATATCCTAATTATAAAATAGATAGATGACGGATAGGTAGGTGGATGGATGGATAGGACACAGGGCTGTGCCATGAGTGTGCTGCCTTTATGACGTGCTGCTGTTGTCTTCAAAATTTGTTTCATCCTCACCTTGGTTTCCAGACACTGTACCTCAGGAATGATGCATTTGGGGATGGTCATCAGGGGTGGAAGCAATATAATTTTTTTTTTCAAAATTGTCATCACTTCTACCATTATTATTACAAAATATCAGAATATAGAAATGGCAAAATTGCCTTGTTTCTCACACCAGGTTTTGGAATATACTTAAGAAAGGGGAAAACATGAAATTCTAACACCAGAGTGTAGTGCCTTGATTAAATATTGCAGCCAGCACTCCCGATTGCCCCTTTGCCACCCTGGAGGATTTTATGCGGTGGGACGATTCATGATAGGATGATTCTGGATGGATGGGGCTGTGCTGTGCTTTTCTTCCAGTGGGAAAGGAGCCCTGCATGCAGGTGCAGCCTGTTCCCGGGCAGGTCACTGGGGGAAACATGAGGGAAACATACAGTAGAGTCATCTGGAGATGAATTCCCGTTGCACCCATTGAAAAGTGCTCAAGTGGGGCCGGGCGCGGTGGCTCAAGCCTGTAATCCCAGCACTTTGGGAGGCCGAGGCGGGTGGATCACGAGGTCGAGAGATCGAGACCATCCTGGTCAACATGGTGAAACCCCGTCTCTACTAAAAATACAAAAAATTAGCTGGGCATGGTGGCGCGTGCCTGTAATCCCAGCTACTCAGGAGGCTGAGGCAGGAGAATTGCCTGAACCCAGGAGGCGGAGGTTGCGGTGAGCCGAGATCGCGCCATTGCACTCCAGCCTGGGTAACAAGAGCGAAACTCCGTCTCAAAAAAAAAAAAAAAAAAAGAAAAGAAAAGTGCTCAAGTGAACAAAGTAGGGATCTCATGCTCACTTGAAGATGAATTTCCTGAGGCCAAAAGTGTCCCTGCTGAAAAGTTTCTCAGCAGCACATGGTGCCCCAAGTCATAATACCTGAGGGGAAAGGCAAAGAGGTGGAGATCTTTACCGGTCCCTCTCACCTACCCCGAGACCTCCCCCCAGGACCGTGCCATCGCAGGCCTGGCTTGTACTCCTCCATTGTGACCTCGAGAGAGCCTGGGCCCCACTCTCCTGCAGGATGGGATGAATGGGAGAAAGTCCAGCATCCTTGGTTTGTAAAATGGGAGTGTGGACTACTGGGGTATGCTGAGACTGAGTGAGTTTCAAGGTATTCCCTCCCAGGGTTGGGAACGTGGCGAATTGAACAGTTGCTCCAGGCAGAACAGGAGGCTGAGCAAGTGCAGGGTTAGCTCTGAAAAGGAGTGGCCTCTCTCGCCTCTTCCTAGCCCTGGCCCTGTTCAAATCCCATCTCCACCATGAGCTTCATACTAAGTTCCTTAGTCTCTCCAAGTCTCAGTTTCCTCACTGGTAGGAAGGATTAATGATACCTATTTTCTTTTCTTTCCTTCTTTTTTTTTTTTTTTTTTTTTTTTTTTGGAGACAGAGTCTTCCTCTTTTGCCCAGGCTGGAGTACAGTAGCACGATCTCAGCTCACTGCACTCTCTGCTTCCCAGGTTCCAGCGACTCTCCTGCCTCAGCCTCCTGGGCAGCTGGGGTTACAGGTGCACACCACCATGCCCAGCTAATTTTTGTATTTTTAGTAGAGACAGGGTTTTGCCATGTTGGCCAGACTGGTCTCAAACTCCTGACCTCACGTGATCCACCCACCTCAGCCTCCTAAAGTGCTGGGAAGACAGGCGTGAGCCACCGTACCCAGCCTAATGATACCTATTTCTAAAGGTTAAGGGACAACTGAGAACTTTGTCCAGCCAGCCTCTTACTAGGTGCTCAATAAATGGCACCTCTTATGGTCACTTGTGAGACATGACCTCCACATGGCACTGGTCTGCAGCTAGACAGCTGTGGGCAGCCTGTGTCACAGCTCTCGTCTTATAAACTGGGTATATATCCATGACACTGAGCTCCTGGGAAGACTTGATCTGGATCTTCACTGTTTATAGTGCCTGGAGTACTGACAGTCCTGGTACCTTTCCCAGACTTTGAAGGGGGTAAGGTGGGAGTTGGGAGAAGATGTCTGGCCAGCAGCCATAGCTGCGTGCTCCTTAATGTTATTTATAGTGCCTGTACTACTGACAATGACCAGTGCCTACTGTCAGTCCTGGTACCTTTCCCAGCCCTTGAGGGGGTAGGGTAGATGTTGGAGAAGATGTCTGGCCAGCAGTCACAGCTGCATGCTTCTCTGGTTTGGCAGACCCTGTGTGTAAGCAGAACTTCCACCCCCTCGGCTGCCATGAAGCTCATTTCTCCCAGAGACTTTGTGGACTTGGTGCTAATCAAGAGATACGAGGATGGGACCATCAGTTCCAACGGTGAGTGATGCCCAGAGCTGCCACACCTTCCCGCGATGCTGGGTTTTCTCTTCTGCACCCTTCAGTTCCTCAAGGAAAGCCAAGCAACCAGAAATCACCAGAAATTCACACTCTGAGTCCCCTGCCTTGCCTGGTTGGGTTTGGGAGGATTCAGGGCCGTCGGGGTCTGAGGCAGGACGGTCCACATGCCAGTGATTGTATGAAGTCACGGTTTTGCCAGTGCCCCTTTTTATTTCTGCAGTGCTCATGGTGTGTGCTGTAGGCATGTGGGTTAGTTGGACGGCAGACAACCTGTGTGCAGAATCTAGGGCTGTGTCGTCTTGAGGGTTTTGGTGCCGTCCACTCGCTTAACACCCAGCTCCTGCCTCTGCACAGCGTCTGCCGTTCCTCCAGTGCTGCGTGGCAGAGTTGGTGGATGCATCCATGCCTCTCCTAGCTGAGATCTGAGAGAGGCGCCGGCCTCCTCCCACTCCCAGACCTTGTGTTCTAGAATGTACTTTTCTCTGACACTCTCGGCAAACTTGGGAAAACTGTGTGCATGTTTGTGCATGAATGTGTATGAATGTGTGTGAGTGCAAGTGTGTGTGTGTGCATGTGTGAATTTGTGTACACGCATGTGAGAGTGTATTAGTGTGAGCATAAAGAGCAGTAGAGTGGGGGTAGGGGGAACTCGGGCCAAGAGGCAGGAGTCCCTCACGGACTCCCGGGCTGCAGGTAGTCACATCTGTGTGCTCTATGGCACCCGAGGGACGGTGGCCCATCTGAAGTTGTAACCCGCCGTCTGACTGTCTTCCAGCCAGCCATGTGGAACATCCATTATGCCCCCCGAAGCCAGGCTTTGTGAGAGGATTTAACCATCCTTGTGGTTGCTTCTGTGAACCTCTTCCAGGGTAAGGATAACTTCCTGCATTGTGGGACACGGCTCGGATCTGACCGTGGCTTCCCTGTGGACCTTCTGTGTAAAGAAGCACTTTGATCATGATTCATAAGAAAAATGCCTTACAGCTCTTTAGATTGTGACAATACAAAATGCTTTCGCACACATCTGTGACATCATACACGAAAGTACCTGGTACACGGGAGAGAATTGAGGGAGGCGTTACTCTTACTATTTTTGATGGAGGAAATTTTCCCTGCAGCCTCCAGCTTAGGTCAATGTCATGGTCCATTTAGCAAATGAGGACACTGAGATTTGGGGAGGTTAAGTGATGTGCGTGGAGTCAAATGCTAAGAGGTTGGCAGGCAGGGCCTGTGCTCCGAGACCTCCCTGATGACCCCCAGCCAGCCAGAAGCAGCTTTGAGGATAGCTGTCCCCACCCCACATTTAACACAGCGATCATTTCTCTTCAGGGACCAGTGTGGCGCCGCTCAGGCCTAGTGGGCAGTGCTGAGACCACACTGGAATCAGCCTCAGAGTCAAGCCCAGGCACCCTCTGTTCCCATTTTGCCACAGGTCATGGTCAGGCTCTTACCAGGAATTTTCCATGTAATGAATTCCCTGAGGATTTCTAGTTTATCCTCCAAGTTGACAGCAAAATAAATTGCGCCTCGCAGGTGTGTCCCAGTGTTCCCTGCAGTCTCCGCACAGCTGCCTGGAGGGAAGGGGTCTGGGCCTCTACCAGCATTGTCCCAGGAGGGTGGACCTTGGTGCTATGGGATTTTACCAAGCCCAGACCTAGCACAGTTAGGTTACCCTCTTTGCTAAGCTGGCTTTTCAGACATCCTGTGAAGTCTGTTCTTAGACATAACAAAATTTTGACCTTGAAAATAGCACAGCTGTGCTCCACCCCACACATATACACACGTGCATTCAGTTTCAGTTTCCCCAATAGATAGGTGCCCTGGATCCCTGCCCTGAGCTCATTTCCTTGTCTCCTCCCTCCTGGTAGTCAGAAGCTAAGATTGACCCCTTTCAATGGTGCCAGGTCTGACAGAGAGGAATTTTCAGAATAAGAGGCAGAGCCCTTTCTTCTTAGGGGCTGAATCCCATTGCTGTCTTCTTTTGGGTGGAATCCCTCATGCCAGGTAGCAAAGGTATCACATGGATTATTACTATTTTTTTTTTTTTTGAGACAGTTTTGCCGTCACCCAGGCTGGAGTTCAGTGACGTAATCTCAACTTACTGCAACCTCTGCCTCCCATGCTTAAGCAATTCTCCTGCCTTAGCCACCCAAGTAGCTGGGATTACAGGTACCTGCCACCATACCTGGCCAATTTTTTGTATTTTTAGTAGATCCAGGGTTTCACCATGTTGGCCAGGCTGGTCTCAAACTCCTGACCTCAAATGATCCCCCTGCCTTGGCCTCCCAAAGTGCTGTGATTACAGGCGTGAGCCACCCTGCGTGGCCTGATTGCATGGATTTTGCTGATAGGGTAGTTGGGGGTCCCACAAAACCCTGCCAATGTGAGGGTTGTAACTCAAGTGTTGACTCTTCCAACTCCTGTCCACTTGATTAAAAACATCGTGTGTTCTCAGTAAAGCCTCCTTCCAGAGCCTGCTGCATGCAGTTATTCTCATAAGGCTGTGGATCTGAAATCTCTGACAATGATGATTCACTCTTACTCTGTGAAGATAGGCCTGTTCTGCACGCTGGATTCAGCAGACAGTAATCACAGCAGGAGCAGCAAACACTTAAACAGCACCACTGTGTGTCAGCCACTATTCTAAGCACTTTATATCAATTAACTATTTTTATAACAACCCTAAGGCATTGTTATGATCCTCATTTTTAAGGTAAGAATGGTGGGTGCACAGAGAGGTTTAGTAACTTACCCAAGGTCACATAGCCAGCAAGTAAGAGGCCACAGTCTGAATCCGGCCATCTGGCTCCAGAATCTGGACTCTTCACCCAGATACTGACGTCTCAACAGCTAGAGTGTCTGTTCTCTTGGAGCTTAGATTCCAATGAAGGCAGGAGGAGACAGACAAAACACAGATGTAAGTAGTTCTATCTCATGGATACTGTCTTAAGTATCAGATGTTAAGTGCCTTGGGGAAAACCGAAGCCAGATAAAGGTGCCAGGGAAGGGTGTGAGTGGGTCATCTGGAGGTTTCCCTAATACGACCTTTGAGCGAAGCACACATGCAGGGAGTCTTGGGCGTGTTGGTGGAGTGAGCATGGCAGGGAGGTGAGCAGATGCCTAGTCCCAGAAGTGGGAGCAGGAGCAGGACCTTTAAGGAACAGCACAGAGGGAGGTGATGTGTTAGCGAGGGGTGCGGCTGGGACATTCGGCCTTTGAGCACTTCCTTCTGAATAAAACGGGAAGCCACAGGGGAGTCCTGAGCAGGGCATCCTCTGACTTTGGTATTAACTGCAGTGACGCATCTAGAATGGAAGAGGCTGTGAGCAGGGAAAGAAGAGGACTCATCGCGGGGTGAGGTGGTGGTGGCTGCGCTCCGAGTGTCTGCAGTGGGCGGGGGAGAGGTGGTCTCAAGGTGGAGGAGCCTGTATTTGTGGTCGAAGCAGCATGACTGCCATTTATGGGGCACCTGCTCTGTGCACAGAAGGATGCTAAGTGCACTTCACGCCTCCTCTCATTCAATCCTTCTAGCAACCATAGTGGATGCCTTCATCCCAGCGTTTTCTGCAGGGAGACTGAGTGACCCACAGCTCCTCTGTGCCCCCTTTTGCCCTTTCTGTTGTCAAATAATGGTGTACATGCAAGAGCCACCATTCCCCAAGGCCACTGTGACGAAGAGAGTTTGTCCCATCCCACGCAGCCTCTCACATGTTCCACCCACCGCAAAGCCCAGTCGTCCCCACCCAGAGGGAAACGTGATCACGGAGTCTCAGTTCTCACTCACCAGTTCATGTTTCCAAAGAGGATGCTGCTGAGAGGTGACAGGGGCTGGAGGAGGGGCAGGGAGGAAGAGAAGGCCCTAGCAAAGGTGGATGGGCAGGGTTTGGTGCGTGAGGGAGAAGGCAGAGTGCAGATGATGCTGAGGCTCTAAGAAGGAAGTCCGGTCCCCTGGAGTTCACCCTCTTTGGGGAAGCAGGGCACGAGCAGAGAAAAGCCACAGCCCAGAGGAACACACGCTCTCGCCCCTGTGGATCTGCTGGCCACAGCCTGCTCCAGCCTTGGTGGTCCTTCTGTATGACTTGCGGGATAGGATTCTTTTTTTTTGAGATGCAATTTTGCTTTTGGCGCCTAGGCCAGAGAGCGATGATGGGATCTTGGCTCACTGCAACCTCCGCCTCCCAGGTTCAAGCAAGTCTCCTGCCTCAGCCTCCCGAGTAGCTGGGATTACAGGCGCCGACCACCAGGCCTCGTGAACTTTTATCTGTTTAGTAGAGATGGGCTTTCACCATGTTACCCAGGCTGGGCTCTAACTCCTGACCTCAAGTGATCTATCTGACTCCACCTCCCAAAGTGCTGGGATTACAGGCATGAGCCACTATACTCGGCCCTGAGGAGTGGGATTCTAAAAGGTCTCCAGTTCCAAACCTGTAGCCTGGATGATGTCAGGAAACTGATGGGCAGGCATGCTGCTACCTGGGGTTGCTGGTGAGGCTGAGGCTGTGGACAGCTGAATTTCTGATGGGCAGGCACAGTGCTCCTTGGAGTTCCTGGTGACGTTGAGGCTGTGGACAGCTGCATTTCTGATGGGCAGGCACAGTGCTACCTGGAGCCCCTGGTGAGGCTGAGGCTGTGGACAGCTGCATTTCTGATGGGCAGGCACAGTGCTACCTGGGGTTCCTGGTGAGGCTCAGGCTGCGTACAGTTGAGATGGGCAGGCACAGTACTCCTTGGAGTTTCTGGTGACATTGAGGCTGTGGACAGCTGCATTTCTGATCGGCAGGCACAGTGCTACCTGGGTTTCCTGGTGAGGTTGAGGCTGTGGACAGTTGGATTTCTGATGAGCAGGGACAGCCCTACCTGGGGTTCTTGGTGAGGCTCAGGCTGTGGATAGTTGAAATGGGCAGGCACAGTGCTATCTGGGGTTCCTGGGGAGGCTCAGGCTGTGTACAGTTTAGATGGGCAGGCACCGTGCTCCCTGTAATCCCTGGTGAGGATTAGGCTGTGGACAGTTGCATTTCTGATGGGCAGGCACAGCACTACCTGAGGTTTCTGGGGAGGCTGAGGCTGTGGACAGCTTCATTTCTGATGGGCAGGCACAGTGCTACCTGGAGTCCCCGGTGAGGCTGATGCTGTGGACAGTTCCATTTCTCATAGGCAGGCACAGCGCTACCTGAGGTTTATGGTGAGGCTGAGGCTGTGGACAGCTGCATTTCTGATCTGTGGACAGAGTACGGCCTGGGGTTCCTGGTGAGGCTCCGCCTGTGAACACCTGCATTTCTGATGGGCAGGCACAATGCAACCTTGTGTCTATGGTGAGGCTGGGGTTGTAGAGAGTTGAGGTAGGCACATCCAGTGCTACATGGGATCCCTGGTGAGGCTGAGGCTGTGGAAAGTTAAGATGGGCAGGCACAGTGCTACCTGGGCTTCCTGGTGAGGCTGAGGCTGTGGATATTTCTGATGGGCAGCCACAGTGCTACCTGGGGTTCCTGTTGAGGCTGAGGCTGTGGCCAGCTGCATTTCTGATCGGCAGGCATAGTCCTACCTGGGGTCCCTGGTGAGGATGAGGCTGCGGACAGTTGGATTTCTGTTGAGCAGGAACAGCGCTACCTTGGGTTTTGGTGAAGCTCAGGCTGTAGATAGTTGAAATGGGCCAGGACAGTGCTATCTAGGGTTCCTGGGGAGGCTGAGGCTGTGGACAGCTTCATTTCTCATCGGCAGGCACAGCGCTACATGGGGTTCCTGGTGAGGCTGAGGCTGTGGACAGCCGCATTTCTGATGGGCAGGCAGAGTGCTTCCTGTGGACCCTGGTCAGGCTGAAGCTGTGGACACTTGAGATAGGTGGGCAGGCACAGTGCTACCTGGGGTTTCT